GCAAGTCTGAGGTTAGCCTGACCTACACAGCAAGAATATGTCTCAAAACTAACAAACCAAGCCAGGTGTGGTAGCTCACACCTGTAATCACAGCACGGGAGGCTGAAGCAGGATTGGTGCAAGTTTGAGGCCAGCTTAGGCTACAAGGTGAACTCAGGACCAGCCTGAATTGCATAGGGAGACTCTGTCTCAAAAAGACAACAAACAAACAAACAATCAACCTAGAAGGTGGCCAAGAACAGCTGTACTTCACCAGAGAAGCCACTGCCCCCACCCCCAGCACTGGCAGTGCCTCTGTTTCTTTGTCCAAACCACAGACCCAGGGGATTCGGAGGTGGACCAAGGCCTGAATCTTCAAAGGAACTTGAGCTCTCAGTTGCAAAGACCACCAGGCTCTCGAGCCCGGCTCTCCTCTGTGATGCCGATTTTAAAACGCAACGTAAGAGGTTCAGGGCACAAAGCCCAACAGAAGTCGGGCTGACGATTTTATTTTCCAAGGAGGAATGAGAAACTCGTCGTTTTCAAGATCCAGGAGAGGCGGGCTCCAGCCACACCCGGGAATGAGCACCTGTGACTGGGACAGCTAGGGGCGGGGCGGGAGGAGAACCGACCACCCGCTAGCCATCAGGACTCCCAACCGCCAGCCAGCCCTCTGAGTGGAAAGAGAAACTGGAACAGAAAGCATCACCCCGACCCGGCACCAGCACCGGCCGCCAGGAGCACCGAGAGTCTATCCTGGGGTAGGGGGAAAACCCACAAAAAAACTTGAAAATACAATAAAAGAATCTTTCAGGAAAAAAAAGAGAGAACTGAAATCTGAAAGGGGGTAGCGGGTGGCAAAGAGCCCAGCCCAACCAACCCACGGGCAAACGGAAATCCCTGGCCAAGCCCCAGGCAACCGGACCCGGTGGAGCCCCAGCGGAGCCCCATCTGACCGGCCATTCCTGAAATTCCACTCCCAGGGGCTTTGGGATGCCTCCTTTCCCAGGCCCTCTCTAGGCTTCCTCTCTTCCCCCCTCGGTTTTAGACAGGGTCTCCCTACATAGTCCAGCTTAGGCTTGAACTGATTATGTGGCCTAGGCTAGCCTCCCACTCACAGCGATCCTCCAGCCTCAGCCTCCCCAGTACTGGGAGCTCAGGCGTGTATCACCACTCCCAGCCCCAGGCTTTTCTTCTTCCCTATTTGGATGCAGTGGAGACTTAACGGGACTCGGGACACAGGCCCAAAAGGGGCTGGGGCAGGACTGTGCAACCCGCACTAGAGAACCCACACCTAAGATCCTAAGATCCAAAGGTAAGCGGGAGCTTGGTGGGCTGGGCCGCCGGCCTCCAATCCTAGTCTGACGGCCACAGCCCCGGGCCGGTCTGCACCAAGGTGAGCTCGGGCTACAAGGTCCAGCCAAGAGACAGCCGTGAGGGAAAATGAAAAATACCACAGCCCTGCCAGACACCGAGCTCAACAGCCAGAAGGCCGCAGGAGGGACCATGACAGTTTAAAAGCCAAAGACAAAAACATCAGACGGGCTCTGTAGCACAAGCCAGCACTCCCTAAGAGTTTGAGACCAGTCATCAAGCCATCAAGCCACGGTAACCCATCAAGCCTAGGCTGGGATACATAGCAAGACCTTGTCTCAAAAAACAAAACAGAAACAAATAAACAAGCAAGATGTTTTAGGAATGCCAGAATGAACAAATTCACCACACTGCAGAACCAGCGTCTGTCCCAGCGGGGTCCCCAAGGCCACTGCCCAGCAAATAGATTTCCAGGGTGCAGCCTGGGTCTCAGCGCTCACCAGCACCACAGCTGGGGCTCAGTCCTTCCAGTCCTCAGGAAACAGCAGAAACTGGTTAAGGCTGAGCCCTCAGCCCCTCTATGCTGACCCAGTGCCTCTAGGCAGATGGACAGCTGTAACCCCAGCACTCCGGGGAGGCTGAGGTAGGAGGATCTTAGAGAGTTTGAGACCAGCCTGGGCTACATGGGGAAATCCTTACTGATTAAAAACGCACACAGCCACTCCCTCCCCACGGTAACCCAGCTGTGAATCTCGGGGGAAGCTAGCAAGAGCCCCACACACCCAAGGTGTGCTTAATTGCACCCACTTTTCAGAACACAGCCCTCGGGCCCCAGAGCCCCACCTGCCCAAACAAGCCAGGTCCAGAATCCGGAAACATGGGGCTCCCATGGGCCTGCCCAGACAGCCGGCCATGGATAGAACAGGCCAGGTTCCACTCAGCTCCAGAGGCCCCCAAGCCCCTCTCTACCCTGCCTAGCAGGCCCAGTACCAACTGCCAGGGGTTTTGTGCCAAACCCGCCACACATATACAAGCCTCAAGCCACCACCTGTGGCACCTGGGCCACGGCCTCTCTAGCAGTGTCACCACAAGTGGCCAGCCCTCTGTCCTGGGTTTGGATACAGCTCTGAAAGCAGCTGTATACCACTGTGCAATCACAAGACTGCAAACCCAGCCCTCGGAAGGCTGAGGCATGAGGACTGCCATACATGAACTCCCAGGCCAGCATGAACCACACACATAGCAAGGCCCTGCCTCAAACACACACACACATATACACACACACATGCACACACGCACACAGATACACTCACACAGAGCTCTAAGGAGCACAACTACTGAGCACCCACCACATACCAGGGCCTCCCACCAGGCCTCACCATCTTCTCGATCGTACAAGCTCTCACGTTGGCAGAACCAGAAGGCTCCAGGCTGCAGAAGCAGGATCTGCACAAACCCTGCACACAGGGACAGAAGCCACACAAAACAATTCGGGCGGCTTCCACAGCCAGGCTGCTGCACGGGGAGGTGGAAAGCCCTGTCGGGGAGGCGCACAGAGCCCTGGAAGGAAACCACAGGCTAGGCCGAGGCGTCCTGCAAACCCGAGGCCGCTCGCGGCTCCTCCCGGGCAGCCATTTGGAGCGCGCCACCCGGAGGGCCCTGGCCGCTTCCCCCGGGGACCCGGGCCTTTAAACTGCTCAGCGGCCGAGACGGCCTGCGACCTCCCCGGGCCCCCAAGGCCCGGCTTTTCCAGGACAGCCGTTTCCTCCTCGCCGGGGAGAGGGAGCAAGAAAGAGACGGCGGAGGGAAGGCGGGCCGGCCATCTGGCCGCGCGACAGCGACATCCTGTTTATTATCACACATTCGGCAGCGCAGCGCGGGCCGTGAAAATCACCCTGTTCCCGCGGCCCAGCGACCGCGGCGGCCCGGGCCTCCCCGCGCGCCACGCCGCGGCCCGGAGCTCGGGGACCGTGGGGCGCCGCTGGGGGTCGCGCTGCAGCCCCGTCCGCGTCCGGTCCCGGGGGGCGGGGGGCGGCGGGCCCGGGGCCCCGCGCCTGCCCCGCTCCCCGGCCCGCCGCCCGGCCCCCGCCCCCGGCAGCCACAACAATGGCGAGCGCCCGCCAGGCCGCACGGCGCGCGGACAAAGGTCGGCGTGGGGACAAAGCCGCCGGCGCCGCCGCCCACCTGGTGTCCGGGTCCGCGCGCTCGCTCGGGGCCGGCGATGGCGACGGCGACGGCGGCGGCCGGGGCGGCGATGGCGGCGGATGGCGCGGGCCGTGCTCGTCGGCGTCGCCCGCTCGCGCGGCCGCCTGGTCCCCCGCCTCCTCCGCCTCCGCCCGGCCGCGCGGCCTCCTCCGCGTCCGCGTCCGCGTCCCGGTCCTCGTCCCCGGCCTCCGCCGCCGCCTCCCGCCCGCCCGCCCGCCGCGCTGCTCGGTCGCCGCCGCCTCCTCCTCCGCCCGCCGCCCGCCGAGCGCCCCCTGCAGCCGCGCAGTCCCCGGCGCCGCGGGCCGGGGCGGGGCCGGCGGGGGAGGGCGGTGGGGGAGGGGCGCCGGCCCCGCCCCCCGCGGCGCCCCCACTCCGCCCCTCCCCCACGGGGCGCCGGAGTGCCGGGACCGCGCACGCGCTCGCGGAGCGCAGCGCCCCGGGTTCGAGCCTGGGCGGAGGCGGCGCTGCGGACCCGGAGCGCCCGGCACTTTTGAGGGGCCGCGAGTTCGAGGCCTGGGCTAGGAGCGAGGCCCCGTCCCAGAATACCGGCACGGAACGCGCGGCCACAGACACGCAGCCGCGCCTTGCGGGCTCCGCGCGTCCGCTCCTCCGGGCCCGGGACAGTGGGTTGGGGGCGCACCCTGCGCGCTGGACCCGGAGCCCCGCTTGGCAGAGGGGAGGAGGCGGCTCGCTCTTCACCTCCAGATACCTCGGCGGCTAGAAAAGCGACTGTAGGCGGGCATAGTGGCGCAGAACTGGCAGCTGCACCCCGGGGGCCGAGGCAGGAAGGTCACCGTGACTTCGCGTCCAGCCTGGGCTCCATAGCGGGATCCTGTCTCTTACAAAAAAAAAAAAAAAAAAAGCAAAAAGTAAAGCGCGAAACGAGCGGAAAGTACCTGGGGCCAGGGTGTGAACCTCACGCCTCTTCCCCGGAGGTGTCTTCCTCACCCGCTGCCCGCAGGCCTCTTGGTCCCATGTCATCCCACCTCGGCAGGCATTCCAGCCCCAGTTTTAGGTGAGGAGAGAAGTCAGGGAACACAGCCGGGCCAGAGCCAGAAGAGCCAGAGGAGCGAGGCCCGGTGACGCGTGGGACCTGGGGGATTTTTTATAAACATCTCATTTTCCTACGTTGTGTCCCCAGTCATTTCTAATGCCTTGGTTTTGGCTTTGATAGAGTTTCATCTCGTCCGTCCTGGCTGGCCTCCGGCTCTGGGCCCAACAAGTTCTCTTGCCTCAGCCTCCTAGGATCTGGGAGTACAGCTGTTAACCTCTCCCTTTAAAATAGGCTACTTGTGCCAGGTGCGGGCAGCCTGAGCCAGGGAAGTCACAAGTTTGAGTCCAGCCAGGGCAACTCAGGGAGACCCTGTCTCAAAATAAAATGAAACAGGGCCCGGGGATGTGGCTCAGGGGGTACAGCGCTTCCCTGGCACCGGTAACATCTTCAGGAAGTCCCCCAAACCTGCCCCACCCTCACGACAGCAGTAACAAAAAGGCAAAGGAAGAGGACAGGAAGCAGTTTTATTGAGCACTTACTTCACAGGCTTTTGTGTTAAATGCTCCCCAGGGAGCCTGGGCTGGTTCCCACTCCCACCCCAAGACAGACACTGTTACTAATCTCTCTGGGATTGTCAGGAGTGGGCACTGAGGACGCCAGGTCCTAACCTCCTAAGCCTGAGTGGAGCCGGTCATGGTGGCACACACGTGTTATCCCAGCACTTGAGAAGCTGAGACAGGAGGATCACCCCAAGTTTGAAGCCAGCCTGGACTACATAGTGATCTCAAGGCCAGCCCCAACTACATCACAAAACCCTGTCTCAAAAAAGAAAAAGAGGTGGGAGGGGGGATCTAGCTCAGCAGGTATAAGTGCCTGCCTGCCATGTGTTAGGCCCTGAGTTCGATTCCCCATGCAAAAGAAAAAGAAAACCACTGGGCCCTGGGCAGAGTGATCACAGCCAGCAAAACCATCCGCTGGAGCCCTGCCAGCTTTATAACCCCTGTCACCGCCTAGTGACCCAGCAGCTTACACAGTGCCACTGCTGCATCTTGAGCTGGGCTTGCCATCACTTGGGGAGGCTGAGGCAGGAGAAACCTCAAGTTGAGTCCAGCCTGGGCAATTTATTGACTTAAGAAAACCCTGTGTCACTATAAAAAAAATTTTTTTTTGAAAGAATTGGGAATGAGCCAGGTGTGATGGCGCACTCCTGTAATCCCAGCACTCAGGAGGCTGAGGCAGGAGGATTGTTGCAAGTTCAAGACCAGCCTGGGCTACAAAGTGAGCTCAAGGCCAGCCTGAACTGCACAGCGAGACCCTGTCTCAAAAAGACAAAAGAAAGGGGAAAAAATGAATGAATTGGAGATGAGGCACAAGGTCCTGAGTTCCAAGGTCCTGCGTTCTGGCCTGGTCCTGGAACAAAAAAAAAAAGAATGAGGGTAGTCCAAAAATGCTGAATTTAAATCTCAAATCCTGAGAGCAAAAAGAAAAATAGTGAAGAGACACAGAAAATTGTTAAAATTTTTTTAAGAAACTGCAACAACATTGCTGAGGTGAGCAATGCAGGCCCTGCCTGCTGCTGGGAACTGCAAGCCCAAGAATAACCTGGTGGTTTAAGGTTACTGTTACCGTGAAGGCAGCAACCCAACCCTAAAATAAAACAGGGTAAACAGTGTTTGGGCAAAAATGTCTTTGTTGTTGTTGTTGCTGTTCTTTTGATTTTGGTTTTAGTTTTTTGCAACTGCCCTTGAACTTACTATGGAGCCCAGGCTGGCCTCAAGTTTGAGGTAGTCCTCCTGCCTCAGCCTCCCATAATGCTAGGATTACAGAAGTACTCCTCCACCCCAGGTCCAGCTTTCTCACTCTTTTTCCCTTTTTCTTTTTCTCTTTCTTTTTCTGTGGTTTATTCTGGGGGAAAAACTCAAGGACTGAGCTGTACCTGAGCCTATTTATTTACTTATTCATTGTTTTTAAGACTGGGTCTTACTATGTGGACCAGATTTGTGGAGATTCTCCTGCCTCAGTCTCCCGAGGGCTGGGATTACAAGTGTGCACCACCATACTTGGCTTTATTTTGAAACAAGGTCTTTACAAGTTGTCCAGACTGTGTTTGAACTTGCAGTCCTCCTGCCTCGGCTTCCCACGTAGCTGGGGTTAGAGGTATGCACCACTACACCTGGCTACTTCTGCCTATCTTGTGACCTACCCCTTCCTCACCTGGCTGATCTCCATCGCCCATACTCTCCAACCCCAGGCCTGCAGGACCTTAGGGACACATCCTAAGCCAGCCTGCAGTGAGCCGAGGGTGCCAGGCTATGTGCATGCCGGGACTCCCATTCTGCTGCTGGGCTCACAGGAGGTGGACGAGTCCAGGCCTTCAGCTCAGAAAGTGGCCTCACGGATGCCCGAGGAGAGCAGGCACCTGGCACAGGTGGGGCTGAGCCAGCGGAGCCTGGGCAGAACCCTCGAGGCACAGGGGCCAGAGAAGACAATGACCTGGGTCCCCCAAAAGGAAGGAGCCTGGAACTGAAATACAGCATCGCTTTGGTTGGGGACCAGGGTGAGCTCATGACAGGAAGGTGAGTGGGGACACAGCCAGGCTCCCGCCTCCCACGCTGGCTCTTTTTTAAAGAAATTAATGAGTAAGTTAGAGAGAAGCACCGGTTATGCAGCCAGGATGACTTGGAGTTTGTGATCCTCCTGCCTCCCAGGTACCAGGAATGACACCCAACCTCAGATATTTTAAGAAGACAATTAAAAATTAAAACTAACTCAGTGCAAAAGCCCTGAATTCAATCCCCAGGATCCGGGGAGGGGAAGATCAGCCTCACTGGTCATCAGGGAAAAGCAAATCAAAACCACAGGAGAACAACTTTCTTCCTGGGCCGGCTAGAAGTACAAGTGCTGGTGAGGACCTGGGACAGGGGCCTTTGTACAGCACTGATAGAAACCGGAAGTGGCTGAGCCATTGCAGAAAACACTTCTGCAAGTTCTCAAAAAAAAAAAATTAATGTAAGATTATCTTATGAGCCAACAGTTTTACGTGCCCAAAACACCTGAGCCCAAGAGAGTCAAATGAAAATGTATACCTGAAGCTGGGCATGGTGGTGAATGCCTGTTATTGTAGCACTTAGGAGGCTGAGGCAGGAGGATCACCGAGAGTTTGAGGTCAGCTTGAGCTAGTCAGACCCTGTCTCTCTTTTTTTTGTACCAGGGATCAAACTGACAATCTCACACTTGCCAGGCAGGTGCTTATGCTGCTGAGCTAAATCCCAACCTGCCCCTGTCTCAAAAAAACCTGAAAAGTAAAATAAAAGTTAAAATGGCTTATTTTATGTTCCATGTTCCTTTTTTTTTTTTTTTTTTTTTTGTCTTTGCCTTTGTGAGACAGGGTCTCTGTGCAGTTCAGGCTGGTCTCGAACTCACAATGATCCTTCTGCCTGCTCAGCCTCCCGAGTGCTAGGATTACAAGCTTAAGCCACCTCTGGCCTTGTTCCATGTATCTTATGCTAAGTGTACTGAAAACAATCTAACTGGATATGGACCTTGCCCTTGCATCTCCATCAGTTATGTTTCTGTCATTTGATTACAGTGTATCATTTAGATTTCCAGTCTTACCCATGATGTTTAAATTTCAAGAAAGATACATGACTCTTTTTTTTCTTAGTGGTGCTGGGTTTTGAATCCAAGGTACATTTCTACTCCTTTATGTATCTTTTTAATTTTGAGACAGGTCTTGCCCAGTGTGGATTGGAACCTGAGATCTGTCCCTCTGCTTCTTACAAGTTAATGGGTGACGGATGGAAGCCAAGGACCCTGCAGGAAGCCTCCCGGATGGGGGCCCCAAGCATCCCTGCCTGGGGTCTGGACACGCAGAGCCAGGCAAATTTCCCCGGGGGAGGGGAAGTGGCAGCGGGCAGAATTGCAGCAGGGACTTCCGAGGAGATGAGGGGCAGGCAAACCTCTGGCCCTGTGTTACTTACTAATAGCGCAGGATTCCTGACCCTTTGGAGCAGCGGAAACTTGAAGCAGTTTGCCCTAAACCCGGCCACTTGGGCCTACAGTGCTCAGGAGGTAACTAAAAGCAGAGCAAAGCTGGGCCTTTATTTTGTATCTTTTACCTTAAAATTGGGGGACAGGAATGTTATTTATTTTTACATTTTATTTGAGACAGAGTTTTGCTATGTAGCCTGAGAAGGCCTTGAAATCCTCTTGCCTCAGCCTCCAAAGTGCTAGGGTTATAGGTGTGCACCACCATGCTCAGTTCTTTATTTTTTATTTTTTTAATTGGAAGCAGGGTTGATCTCACTATATAGCCCACGCTGGTCTCAAACTCCTGGCAATGCTCCTGCTTCAGCCTCCTCAGTGGTCCTGTTTTGTTTTGTTTTGAGTGCTGGGGTTGCCAGGAGCTGCTGTATTGTTCCACAGAAAGACTGCACCTCGTACACACACAGACACGTTCTGTTTTTCCCAAATATTTTCGTGTGTGGTTGTGGAATCTGGTCGCTGGAGCCGTAGGCAGGAAGCGGCTTCACTGCCCTTCCCGTGTGTACATCTGATCACAGGAGCAAGCAGATGTGCGAAATGACAGATGACGCTCCTCGAGGAAGTGGCCTTCATTCTCACCAGAGCCTGATGACAGGGACGGGGACAAGCGGGCTCCCACAGTTTGTGCCCCTGCCAGCTGATAAAAAGTCATTTAAAATTGAAAATCAGAGCTGGGGCATGGTGGCTCACACCTGTAATCCCAGCACTCGGGAGGCTGAGGCAGAAAGATCATTGCGAGCTCAAGGCCAGCTTGAACTGCACAGAGAGACCCTGTCTCAAAAATTCAAAAAATAAATAAAATAGAAAAGCAGAAAGCTGGGCATGGTGGTGCTGGGGTGTAACCCCAGCATTCAGGAGGCTGAGGTAGGTGGGTGGCTGTGTACTTCAGGATGGCCTTGACTTCACTTTGTAGCCCCAGTTGGTCTCAGAGATCCTCCTGCTTCAGCCTCCTAAGTGCTAGGACTACAGGTGTGTGCCCTGTGCTTTTATGGGTTAGCCATTGATCTAAACACTTCATCAAACCCACAGAAATTCTTTTTTTTTTTTTTTTTTTTGCTTTTTTAAAACTTTTTATCGGTACCAGGGATCGAACTCATGACCACCTGCTTGCAAGGCAGGTGCTTATGCCGCTGAGCTAAATCCCCAGTCAAACCCACGGAAATTCTACAAGACTCACTGTTAAACCCTTATTTTATCAAAGGCAGGCTGCACAGAGGGCTCCTCCACATGGACAGGGCCCAACCCCAAACCCAGATCTCCAGGATTCCCATAAGTCTGTCCAACTGGAAGGGAGGCAGTGGTACCCAGGAGCTGGCTCACTGGGGCGAGCACTCTTCTGTTTGTCACCTGTATTTTAGAATAATCCAAGCCCCCACTGGCCTTTACCAGCATGTGTCACACAGTTTGACCCTGGTCCCTTCACCCAGCAAAGGGCCAATTTATGCAAGCCACGTTAGCAAAATTTAACATCGCTTTGACTTTTTTCTAAAGATAAAAATACAAATTAACATAAATATAGGCTGGGTAGTGCTCAGGGCTACACCCAGCGCTGGTAATGCCAGCACTCCGAGGCTGAAGCAGGAGGATCCCAAATTCAAGCCTAGCCTTGGCAATTTAATGACTTTACGAGACCCATCTCAAAATTAAAAATAAAAAAGGTACGGAGTGTTACCCTAAAGACCCGACACCTAGGAAGCACGCATACTTCCTCCGCCCCGCGCCCCCCAGCTCCAGCCGTCGGTGCGCTGAAAACTGGGCCTTGGGGCCACACCCCTTCTTTCTCCCGCCTTCTTTGTTTTTCCGGAGGCGTCTTTGGCTGCGTACCTTGTAATTGGGCGGGCTGAGGGTGATCGGAAGGATGCTATTGGTTAAAATTACTGTTTCTCTCGACAGCCAGCTCCGATTGGTCCATGAGCCGCCATAGCTGTGACGTAAGCAAGTCTGCGACGTGGTTGGCGTGCGCCGGTCACTGCGCTGGCTCACAGGTGCGGGATGTTGGCCGGCGCGGTTCGGTGGTGACAGCTGGAAAGCCAGGCCCGGCGGAGGCGGGAGGCAGTGGGTGGTGATGGGGATTCAAGACCGCGCTGCTGGAAATCGAGAGGAAGCGGGACGCGGAAGTCCATGTCCAAGACTCCTAGCCGCGTCCGCGCTCCGAGCCTCGCTGGAGCCTTTTCTGCAGTAGATGGGCGTTACCGGTCACTATGGGAACCGGAAAAAACAGATCGAAAAGTTGCTATGGCCAAGCTTGGTGGCGCTGGGCTATGATCCCAGCAGTTGAGAGGCTGAGGCAGGAGGGTCACTGGAATTTCAAGGCGCCTGGGTTTTATACCCTGGACCTGTCTCAAGAACCAAATAACCAACCCAAACCAAAAGAACCCCACCGTGTACCGCAACGGCCCTATGATTGTATCCCTAGATAAACAGATACGTGAACAAAAATATGTCTGTACGTGTATAGCAAAAGAATGACACCACCCCACAGACACCCGTGTCCCAGTCCCCAGAACCTGTGAATTTGTTGCCTTCCCTGGAAAAAAGAATTTCACTGATTAAATCATGGATCTTGAGCCCGGGAAATGATCCCGGATTATCTGACTGAGCCCACTGGAGTCTGGAGTTCCCGGGCAGGCTGACGAGTGACAGAGGAAGCGGTAGGTGGAACGGAAGAAGCCAGGCAAAGACCAAGTCCTGCGTGACTCGAGTTATAGAGAAATCTAGAAAATGGAAACCAGTCTGTTGTGGCAGCGCCTCATTCCTAAGTTATTGTATATCAGCAAACCTCAGGGAAGTGTTTTTTTAAATTTTATTTAAAGAAAGACTAAGCAAAACAAAATAGGTAGAAATAATACGTACGTTCAGAGAAAAAAACAAGTCACAAGTTGATGTTTACATATTGTCGTTTTACAAATAGTTCAAGGTACAAGAGTGGAATACGTAAAGTGGGAATTCAAACATCCAGACCCCAAACAGTTCTGTTCAACTGTCCAACAAAAACGTAGTAACATGGTTGTCAATCCTATACACTTAAAAATACATGCAGTTATCCATATCTTCATTTATATTGAAATTAAATCAGGTTAAAATAATTCTGAACAAAGAATAATAGTATTGCTGGATTTTACATCATGACACTCTGATCAGCACTGGGTACTGTAGTTCCTTCTTTAAAAATTTAAAGAAAGACTAAAACAGAAAGCGGGTAGAAATAATACATAATTTCAAAGAAAAAATAAACAGTAAGAAATCACTAGTTCATGATTATAGATTGTCTTCTTACAAATAGTTATTCAAAATACTAAAGTGGAGTACATAAAGTGGGGATTCAAACAGTGAGACTGCAACCAGTTCTGTTTAACTATCCAACAAAAACTTAGAAATATGGTTATCAATCCTATACACTTAAACATACATGCAGTTATCCATATCTTCAATTATGTTGAGGTTGAATAAACCCAGGCAGGCTAATATCACTCTGAACAAAGAATAATACTATTGCTGGGTTTCATATTATGACATTCCAGGATCAGCACTGGGTATTTTAGTGTCTCTTTTTCTTCAAAGTATTTTTTCATTTCATCATGTGTCATAAGATCAGTTCTCATAAACTGTTTACAGATTCTACACATGCATGACTCTTAACATGTATTTCTATCCTTTCTATATTAGAGGGACAAACAAAGCAAGACAAAACAAAACATATTCCTATAAACACATGAAATGAAATAAACATATAAGACCATTGTACAAAGAGTTCTATCATGGTTCCTGTATTGTCTCTTGTTATCTCCAATAGAATTGGCTATATCATCAGACATAGTATAATTGAATGTATCAGTACATAACTATTAATAAAAACATAACTTTGTATATAGTATAGAACTTTAAAAACCAGCAGTTATCAAACCAGAATGTGTATCATAGCATCTTGTCATCTTCAGTGTAGTTGCCTATACTCTCAGACTTGATACTATCAATCATATCAGTTTTGAAAAAAATCTTCTCTGCCTCATTTCTGTTATGCTTTTGTTTGCCATCAGCTGTCTGCTTATCTTCTTCATTCTGTTTTCTGTTCCATTCATTGAGGCCTCTCTGCCACTTTTCCTGGAATCCAAGTACTTTTTTCTCTCTCTAGAATGCCCTGCAGTATTCTCTGTAGACTTGGATTGGTGATTGCAAATTTCCCAAGTTCCTCTTTGTCTTGGAAGCGTCTTGTTTCTCCATTAATTTCCAGAGACAATTTAGCAGGGTATATCAATCTGGGATGGAGGTTATTTTCTTTCAGGGCTTGGAATATTTTGCTCCAGGGTCTTCTTGACTTGATGGTTTGTGTCGAGAAGTCTGCCATTATTCTGATGGGCCTTCCTCTTTTTTTTTTTTTAACTTTTTTTCCTTTTTTCTTTTTATCAGTACCGGGGATCAAACTCACGACTGCCTGCTTGCAAGGCAGGTGCTTATGCCACTGAGCTAAATCCCCAGCCCCTGGGCCTTCCTCTTTAGGTTGTTTCTTGTCTCTTAACAGCTTTTAATATTTTGTTCTTATATTGAATTTCTGGGATCTTGATTATTATATGCCTGGGTGTAGCTCTGTTTTGGTTCTAGGTGGTTGGAGTTCTGTATGCCTCATATATCAGAATATCATTTCCTCTTCCTATGTTTGGGAAGTTTTCCTTAATTATTTCTGTGACTAACCTTTGTAGTTCCTTTGTTTGTACCCCAGATGCTTCATTCATGTTCTTTATTCTGAAGTTATAGATCCTTTTGTCATCTTCTAGCCTTTGTATTGTTACTGCTTGTTTCCTTGTTATTTTTAAAAAGTTTTCCCTTTCATACACCCACTTTGCAAAATTGTCCTCCAGTTTGGATAATCTATCCTTAGTTTCTTTCAAGCTGATTTGCCATCTTTCCATAGAGATTTTAATTTCCTGGTGGTCTATTTGAATCTGCTTCATATATTCTAAATTTTTTTTATATTCTTCATCAAATGGTTCTCCCCTTTGTTTGAGTTCCTTTCTTCTTCCATCTGTATCTGCTTGAGGGGTGCTTAGTATCTCTTTAATTAATTTTCTTATATCTTGCTTTATTTGGCTAAATACTTCCCTTTTGAACTCATCTATGAGGTCCGGAATATATCTCTTTATGTCCACTGGTGCTGTGTCTGATACTGCATGTTTGCTGTTCTCATTCTTTCTGTATTTACCTGTCCTGGGTCCATGTTCTCAGGGTTGGGACCTGGGGACTTTTTGTTGTTGCTTCCTCTTCCCAGCTTTTTTGCTTTTTCCAGGAGGCTCTAGTTTCTTTCTTTGTTGATTACAATTCTTCTGAAGGGTGCTGGCTAGATGACCCTTCCCACTGCTGTGTGCTAGTGAGTTGCAGACAGGGACAGAGTATACTGGCCCCTCCCCTCTGGATCAGTCAAGCCCTGTGGCCTGCACTGTATTACTTTGCGTGTCTTCCCCTCGGGGTTGGCGGCAGGGTCAGGGGCGGGGGCAGCCGGCCAGGTCTCGCTGGTGGCCCACGAGTCTCCACAGGCAGTGGTTGGAGTGCCTTGATGAAGTGTTTTGTTTTTTTTTTTTTCTTTTCTCCTGGTACTGGGAATCAAACTCATGACCTCCAGCTTACCAGGCAAGTACTTGAGCTGCTGAGCTAAACCCTCAGCCCTCAGTAAAGTGGTTTTTACCTTCTCTGTGGTTCTGGAATTGAACTTAAGTGCTCAGCTTCTTTGCACTGAGAGACATTGCCCTCTGCTTTTATAATTTGGAAGCAGTAGCCCAGGCTGGACTGGAACTAGCAGTTCTCCTGTCTCAGCCTCCTAGAGGGCTGGAATTACAAGTGTGCACCACCACCACACCCAGTCCTCAATAACGAAAAGAAGGAACAGAATTGGCAGAAACGATACAAACTGAGTTACAGTAAGATGTTAAACTAGGCATGGTGGCACATGCCTGTGATCCCAGCATTTGGGAGGCTGAGGCAGGAAGATCGCTGTGAGTTCAAGGCCAGGCTGAATTACATAGTGAAACCCTGTTTCAAAAAAAAAAAAAAATGGGGGAGGGAGCCTGGTGCACTAGTGCACCCCTCTACTCCCACACCCAAAAGGCTGAGGCAGGAGGATCACTGAGTTCAAGGCAGCCTGAACCATATAGTGAAACCCTGCCTCAAAAAAAAAAAAAAAAAAGACCAAATAAATAAATAAGGGAGGGGAAAATAGCTTCTGGAGTTCCAGGAGGGCTCCTTCGTGGGTGGTCACCAAGGCTCTTCATCGGGAGTAATTTACCTAGCAAAGTCACAACGTGGATGCAACATGGCTCAAACTACCATTAACCCATAAGGTTACAAGTACAGCTGCTTAGCTAGTATTGGCCCAACAGAGCATGGTAAGGATGTATGGAAAGAACAACCTAGGAGGCTGAAGCAGGAGGATCGCCCCAAATTCGAGACTAACCTGTATTACTCAGCAAGACCCTGTCTCAGAATGAAAGGCATTCGGGGGAGGGTGAGGACTGGGTGTGGACGCTCTGCTTATGCAGCTCGGTGCACCAGTGATGCCTATCTGGGCCCCAGGAGCAGACACTGCTGATTCCAGTATAATAAACTGTAGGCGCTCTTTATCTCTCGGGAGGCTCGCAGGCCAGGCTACTGCACTTCCGTCCTGAGGCCTGGCTCTCTGGAGATTGCAGCCACAATTCTGACAGCTCTGGTTTTAATTTTGAGTGTGTGCTGACTCCCCAGAGGGTCCGCACCCTCTCTGACTAATTTCCATCCATAATTTCTAGCAACAGCCACTGGGATCTAAAGAGAGAAAACCAGGCCCCTCCCGAAGAGCAGGCAGGCCTCCCTCTGCCAGACCGGAGCAGGAGGGGAAATGTCCTGTCCCCAAAGGAAGTTACCACCATCTCTTCCGGGCCTGCACTCTTTCTCTAGGGCAGGCTTTGTATTCCTACCTAACCCTTCCCGCTCCTCTGACCGCCTCCGCTGAGAATTCCTTTCCTGTGGTGCAGGCAGTGAACCCATCAGAGTGGGTGAAGGTCCAGATGTCAGCTTTGGGGACAGCCCGTCTCTCATGTGCAGTAAGGCCAGGGACTGGAATGAGGTCGATCTGAGAAGTGGCCTGGCCTGTGGTTCGCCGTCAGGGGCAGTTCTGGGTGTGGGTGGTTTTCCTGGACCGGCAATGACATTACTCCAACAGATTTTAGGAGGGAAAGAAAGCGAGGGAGAGAAGGAGGAGAGGGCGAGGGAGGTGAAGGGGAACTCATAGGTGAAGACACTGAAAACTGTATCAGTTATATATTTTTAAAAGTAGTCAGGTGGGGTGGTGCACACCTGTCATCCCAGCACTCTGGGAAGCTGAGGCAGGAAGGTGGAAACTTCAGCCATGGCTGGAGAATTTAGCAAGATCTTGTCTCAAAGTAAAAAGTAAAAAACAGGCTGTGGATATAGCTGAGTGGAAAGGCCGTGGGTACCACACACACATGCACCCAGCGCACAGACACACACCCAGGACACCAACCCACCATGCCAGTACCCTGGGCCCACATTTTCATCTGCAGCCCAGCCAGCTGGGTCCCCAACACCCACACAGTCCTCCAGGGCCACACAGCACTGTAGGGGAAGCGCCCCAGACACCACCCTAACTCTGGGCTCATCCCAAGCTTCTCCCACCCCAACCCCAGGAAGGACCCGGCCCACACCCCAAGGGAGCCCACCTTTCCCCCAGCCTCTTGGTAAACTGCACCCTGGGGCTTTCTTTCCTTTGTTTTTTGAGACAGGGTTTCACAGTGTAGTCTAGGCTGGCCTTGAACTCGTGGAGACCCTCCTGCCTCAGCCTGCCCAGTGCCAGGATTATGGGCGTGTGCCACTCTGGGGTTTTAACAGGACATGGACACCAAGTCAGGGGTGGACACATACTGTGACGCCCAAGAGTGCAACAAGCCAGCGAGTACCATAGTTCTGTCTCCCGCTCCCCACTGGAGGGCAGGGTCCTCCGCAGAGAGGCAGGCGCCCTGCCACTGCAGGAAGCGGCTGACCAGGGGGCCTGGCTGTGCCACGCGGGACGGGTGCAGTGCCCGAGTCCTGCCAGCAGGGGGCGCCACGGCTCCCACTGGGCAGGGGTCACTTCCGTGGAGCGGCGCGTTGGGCCAAGCTCGGGGCTTTTGTCCTCCCGCAGGGGGCGTCCCTGGCCCGTCCTTCCCCTGCCCTCACCGCTGTGGAGGGGGCGCTGATCTGGCCTCAGGGCAAACTGGGGGATATTGTAGTCAGGGGTTGTGTGGAGAACAATTATAATCAGGACATGGAGTTTATAATTTTATGATGGTCACCCAGAGGTAACACAAGAAACTGCAGGAAATCTGTTCATAGCACTAAAGACATAGAATATTTAGCAATATCCTGCGTGAGTCTAGATGAAGACCCAGAGCTCATGACAGTGCCTCCCACGAGTCCAACTGGAGGTCCAGAGCCCACAACAAGGACTCACGCCAGTCTGTTTTACACATTTGTGTTGGGAAGGCCCAAAGGTCAGCAGTGGAAGCCAGAAAGTCCATGTCAGCGGGGTGATGGAGCTGTGCTGGTGGGATGAGGGTTCTATGCTGGAGCCGAGAAGTCACGCTCACAACACAGACCAGGGCTGTCCTGAAAGGCACCATAGCCGTCCTCAGTGACACAGAGGTCCCGAGCTCCTCCGACAACAAGCACAATCAGGTGCGTGCCAGGAAGCCAGTGTGACGAGTTCATCCTGGAGACCAAGCGGCACATGTCGTCCCCTCCGGAGCCAGGAAGCAGTGCTCGATGTGAGGACCAGAGCTTCTCTGGGAGAACCAGCAGCTCAAAGAGCAACTTGTAGGAGAATCCATAACACCTTAATGCCTTTCCGGCTCCTTCTCCACATTTCTATTTATGCTGGCAACTTTCCTCAGGTGGGGCATCTATGCTCGGTGCCATGCTGATGTATTCCAGCTGGAGTTAAATTGACCACCAGTTCTGTGTGTGTGTGTGTGTGTGTGTGTTTCCTTTTTATCGGTACCAGGGATCGAACTCACAACTGCCTGCTTCCAAGGCAGGTGCTTATGCCGCTGAGCTAAATCCCCAGCCCCTGACCACCAGTTCTTAATCCATAACGGGAGCTTGATTCCCGTGATCTGGAGGGAACCCCGGGCCAGGCAAAGCTGCTGCACTGGGGATGGCTCTCCAACCCTGGGCAGAGTGACTGTTTCCCTGGGGGTTGAAGCCCTTCACACTGTACTACATCCCCAGCCCTTTTATTTTATTTTGTTTTGTTTATTGAGACAGGGTCCGGCTGGCTTTGAACTCACTATGTAGCCCAGGCTGAGAGAACTCCCAGTGATCTCCTGTCTCAGTCTCCTGAGTGCTGGGATCACAGGCTGGTCCACCGCCATGCCTGGCCTGTTTTATTTTTGGTTTTTATTGTGATTTGTGCTGCCGAAGTGAGCCCATATTTTTCATTTTGAGACAGGGTCTCGCTAAGTCACTACACTTGTGATCATCCTGCCTCAGCCTCGCTGAGAGCCGGGCTGCCAGGTGTGCACTCCCATGCCCAGCCCACTCTGTGTGGTGTTCACCCTGACCACTGGCCTGAAGCGAGTGTTGGGCTGCAATGCACAGGTCACCTGCTGCTCTGTAAGTCACTGTGAGTAATCTCGTTTTTTTTTTTTTTCTGAGACAGGGTCTTACTTTGTAGCCCAGGCTGCCCTGGACCTCATGGCAATCGATCCTCCTGCCTCAGCCTTCTGAGTGCTGGCATTACAGGCTTTGTACCGCTGTTTGGCCTGTTGGGCCTCTCTCAGTTCACAGACAGACATTTCCCCTGGGAAAGTCACATAACAGGGGGCCAGTGCCACACAAGGCTCTCATGTCAGGGAGGCTGGCACAGGCTAGGGCTCAGTGGAGGTCTGTGGATGTGGGGGGGCTTTGAGGAGCCTTAGGTGTATCTGTGAGGACCCCCCCACCCTTTGTACCGAGCGGATATGTCTCCATGGGAAGGTGTCCTGGGCCTGAGGTGACAGTGCCCAGGGGACTGCCGGGCTGGGTCCTCAGCTTCCATCTGCGAGAGGCTCCCCGAGTCTTCAGAAGTAAGGGGGCACACATGTGAGTCAGCTTAGCAATGACAAGCAGCAGTCCTCTGTCCATCCATCCGTCTGTCTGTCCATCCATCATCTGTCCGCCTGTCCATCTGTCTATCGTCATCTGTTCATTCATTCATTCATTCATCTCTCCATCCATCCATCCACCTACTCACCCACCCGCCCATCTGCCCTTCTCCCTCCTCCCCCCTTCCTTCCTTCCTTCCTGCAGACCCCGGTTCTGGCCTGGGCACCCCGCTCCCACAGAGGACCTCAAGATTCTCCTCCCAGGAGCTGACCTCCGGGAGAAAAGCAGTCACCATGTTGGGGGACCCAGTAATGCAAAGGCGCAGCCCTGAGCTGGGCAGAGGCCTGAGCTGGGGGGCGGGGGCGGGCCTACCGAGGATTGGGAGAGAACAGGTCCAGAAGAGCTCGGCCGGGAGTTTGCTGTATTACTTTTTAATCCAAAACTGTTTTGTGCTGTAGGCTACAGAAAATAAATGTGCAAAAGGGACGGAAACGTTGGAGAGAAAGCGGAGGGGGCCTTGCAGTTCTGAACCAGAGAAGTGATGCCAGAGAAGTGATGAGAAGGTCAGGAGCTCTAGGCTTTCCCTCGGAGCCTCCAGCCCAGTGCACACCGCGTGGGTGTCCACTCTGGACCAGGAGCCCTTGGGCCAGCCACAGGGCTGCCCACCCTCTCTCCAGCTCCTCTCTGGGGGCCTCAGTGCCTTGCCTCTTGAGAGCCACTGCCCTCCCATCTCCGGCACTCATTGGCCCCTCCTGGGTCCCCAGCCGTCCTCCCTCTGAACCCCTCTGTGTTCTCCCCCTGTTCTGGTCTCACTCTGTGTTATTCCCGGCTTGACCTCACTGTGTTCCCCAGGCTGGTCACGAATTCTTGGTGATCCTCCTGCCTCAGCCTCCAAGGGCTGGAACTACAGGCATGTGCTTCCATACCCAGCTTCAAAAATAAATTCTTGATTTAAACCTGGTCTCAGCCCAAGGCAGAACAATTCTCCTCCTGGTGCCTGGGGCTATGGGCTGTGGCAGCCAGGAGGGCCAAGTGCCTTGCTCCAGAGTTAGAAGGTGGCCAGGTGGCCAGTGTCAGAGGCCAGTGTACTGGGTATGACCTTAAGATATCATCACGGGGTCTAGTGACCCACACCTGTCACCCAGCTCCTGGGAGGCGAAGCCGGGTGATTTCCGTGAGTTTGAGGTTGGCCTGGACTAGATAGACCCTGTCTCAAAAAACAAAAACCCAAAAGATATTTCACTGTTTTCTGTGGGGTCACATTGGTTTTGAGGCCAAACAAATGACTATACATGTATTACAAATTAACGTCTTTTTAAAAATTAAGAGGCAACACCTAACTTTTTCCCCTTTTTTGTTTGGTCTGAGTCAGGCTTTGTGTGGCTCCAGCCCGCCTTGAACTCATTGTGCAGTTCGGGCAACCCTCCTGCCTCAGCCTCCCAAGCTGTGGATGTCCTCTTGCCGCTTGCCACGCCAGGGCGCAGAGTTGGCATTGGTCGGAAAGTGCGTTGGACGCGGTGTTGGCAGCCGCTGCAACATCACATTTGACCACGAGGAGGCGCGGCGGAGCTGGAATCCAACGGAGAAACCGGGAGCCCGGATCCGAGGGACAGTGGTGCCAGGGGACAGATAACCCGCTCATTCCCCGGGCTCTGCCCTGTGTGACAGCTACCTCCTGAAGTCCTCAAGCAGGGTCAGGATCCACAGACTCAGGGGGGACCCCACTTTTCAGATGGGGACCGAGACCGTGTGGAAGTGACGGCCAGAGAAGGAGCTCAGGACTGGCCCCGTGGGGCTGGGAGCCCCCAGCTCAGCGCCGGGAGGAGGCACAGCTGCCCTGGCCAGGAGCTACCAGCCTAGGAATGCTCCCTGAGCCAGGGCTTGGGTTTCGGCATCACAGGACTCAGGGCAGGCGTGGGACAAGCTCCCATACATTTCTTATGGAAATTGCAGTTTTGGGGGTACTGGGGACCTTTGCACTGAGCTGTATTCACAGCCCACTTTTTTAAAAAATTACTTTTGAGACAGGGTCTCACTAAGTGGCTGAGTTGTCCAGGCTGGGCTAAAATTTGAGATCTTCCTGCTTCAGCTTCCAGAGTGCTAGGATTTCAGTGGTACCACTGTTCCTGGCTGTGAAATTCCTCCTCTGAGAGCCTGCTACAGGCCAGCCCTGTCCTAGAGACCGAGGTCCCACCAGGAAACAGCACGGGCCGAGGTCACAGAGCTGCCACCTGACTCCACACGGGCCTAGCCGCAGCTGAGAGGCTCAGCTGGGGCGCTGGGTTCTGTGGGTCCCAGGGACTCCAGTCATGTGCAGTGGGGACCCACAGATGGGAAGAACACTTGGAGAGTATTGGGGTCCATGGGGAGGCCATGACAGTTAATGAAGACACAGCCCCATCTTGCGTGGCCATGCCCACCTGTAATCCTAGCACTTTAGGAGGCTGAGGCAGGAGGATCACAAATTTGAGCCTGGCTCAGGCAACCTAGTGGTTTAGCAAGACTGTGTCTCAATAGGGGATGGGGATTTAGCTCAGCGGCAAAAGCCCCTGCCTTGCAAGCAGGCAGTCATGAGTTTGATCCCCGGTACCGATAAAAAGGAAAAAGACAAAAAAAAAAAAAAAAAGCCTGTGTCTCAAAACATGAAAAGGGGCTGGGGAGGGAGATCACCGAGAGGGCTCTGGGTCTCAGCCTCAGTACTGAAGGAAAGAAAGACAGGGCCCCTGTGCCCAGCCTCCAGGAGGCGGCCCTGTGTTCCCCCAACACCTCTGGCTGCTGCAGGCTCCCTTCAGATCCCTTCTCTGTCACCTGGTGCCCAGAATCTTAGATGTACTTTTCTGTTTGCTCTGCTTTGCTTAGTTTTGTATTTCTGAGACAGGGCCTCACTGTAGCCCAGGCTGGCCTTGAACTCACTGTGTAGCCCAGGCTGGGCTCGAATTCGCAGCAACCCTCCTGCCTCAGCCTCTAGAGAGCGGGAAGTCAGGCTGGTGCCACCACGAGTAGAATTTCATCATCCGGCCCATCCCCCGTTCCCTGGCCTGGAGCCTGCGGGGACTTGGCCTGTGCACACGGCTTGCCCAGGGCTGGCTCCCAAACAGGGGTCCACATCCGGGCCCCTTCTCAGATCCCAGCCAGGCTGGCGTCCTGGGCCCTTCAGTCCCAGAGGCCCCACAGAGCCCTTATCAGTCAGCGCCTCTGTGCTGAGAGCCCCAGACAGGCAGCCCACCCTGCCCGCTGCTCGGTGCCCTTATCAGGGGACACATTCCAGCCTGGCTCTGTCCTCGCAGGGGAGATAGAGCCCAGCTTCCGGGCTGTGGGCAGGGGTGCCTGGCGGGCAGGGTTATCAGCAGGAAGCCTGCGGTCCCTCTCTACAGGTCCAGAGGTGACCGGGGTGGGGTGGGGACGACTCATCCTACAAAGCCACGTGGCTGGGGACTCTGCTGGATTTCAGCCAGAGGTGGAAGTCTTGAGCTGCTTCCTTTGCCCTGCAGGCCCTGACTGTCTGCATCCGGGGGCCCAGCCAGAGCCCCCTGGGGGACGCGCCCAGAATTGCTGGGGAGGGACATGGAGCCCCCGGGGCTTCCGAGGGCAGTGGGCAGCGAGGCTGACAGCCAGGTCCTGGCTCCATGGAAGCCATTCAGATCCAGGTCGGTGCAGGGCAGGGCAGGTGGCAGAGCCGATCAGGTGTCCAGGTCTCAGCCAGGGGCACAACTGGCCTCTCCCATCCTGTAAGAATGGGGAGCAGAAGTGGCACCTTAGGGCACCACTGAAATCTTTTGAGGACCAGGGTGTACACACACACACACACACACACTTACTGAGCACTGGTTCAGTGGCCGGCATACCTCTCTCTCTCTCTCGCTCTGGCTCTTTTGATGGCATGGAATTGAACCAGCCCCTTTGCTCTGAGCTCCGCTCCACTCTTCCTCCTCATGCCGGTTTCTATATTGCTGAGACGGGGCCTCTCTATGCAGAGCAGGCTGGCCTTGAACTCACAGAGATCTTCCTGCCTCAGCTTCCCCCCTGCTGGGACGACAGGCCTGGATCCAGGGTTTGACATCACCGGGCCTCCTGCTGTTATCGTCCTTTGCCTTCAAGGCTGCTTTGCGCCTTCATCTTCAAGGTGCTCACTTCAGCCTTTCATTTCCGGGAGTCTCACCTGGCCGAACAGTAGGAACAAGGAAACCTGCAAAAATAAAATAAACAGTGAGCAGACGAAGGAGTGAGCACAGTCTGCTACCCCCAGTCAAGGCAGTCGCAGAAGCCGGGCCTCTCCTCGGTCCGCCTGCCACGCCCTGCCCAGAGCCCGAGGTCTCAGCCTGGACCCCAGAGCCTGGCCCAGTTTCCAGCCCCCTCCGTCCCCAGGGTCCCCCAACGCCTGGCAGTTGGCAAAGCAGAGAAGCTTTGACAGGGGCAGGAGCCAGGCCTGGGGGTGCACGCCTGTCTGCCCAGCACTCTGGAGGCTGAGACAGGATAGCTGTGGGTTGAGGGCAGCCTGGACTGTGTCCCCAGACCCTGTCTCAGAGAAACAAAACAAGGAAATAAAGCAAAACAGAAAAAAAGGAAGAAATCCGCAAATCCCGGGAGGGCCCAGGCGGCTCCAGCGGGCCCAGGTTCTGTGTGGGCCCTGAGATGTCACGGCTCGGGTCCTGACTTCCAGCTGCACAGGGTGCTGGGATTGGGGTGCTGAGGGGCGCGCCGGCCCCCGGCCACAGAGCCGAGGGAGCCAGTTCTGTGCAGGTCTCCAGTCTCCTAGGAGGAGAAAGAGAAGGTTCTGGAACCGGGATGCCCCTGTACACAGAAGACAGTGGACAGGAACGTGAGCTGGGCAGGTGCTGGGCACCGAGGGGACTGGGCAGGTGGGTGAGGATGTAGGGCCTGGTTCCCATGGCAGTGCTGTGGGTCTCCAAAAGAACTTGGTGGATGTGGGTGGTGCTAGGCTAACTTGGGGTGCTGGCTCTGAGCCTTTAGGGACATTCTGGGGAAACAGAAGCAGAGTGAATCCTCTCTGAGGGAAAACTGGGCCTCAGGTCAAGGTCAAGCCATGACCTTGAGGACAAAAACGAATTCACACAAAGACAAGGCCACAGTCACAGGAGGGGCCAAGAATCGCAATGTGTGAGCTTGGATCCAGGATGGAGAACAGCTGTGTCTCCCCTCTGTCACGTAACAGGGGTACAGGGAGGCTGAGATAGGAAGAGCCCAAATTTAAGCCCAGCTTAGAATGGGGATTTAGCTCGCTGTAAAGGCCTTGGGTTCAATCCCCACTGCTGCAAAGCAAACCAACAGGCCGGAGCACCGGCTTAGCGTGCGTGAGGCCCTGGGTCTCAGTCTCATGCTGGAAGGCGCTAACCACCTAGCAGTGCTGTAGGCCACATAAGGCACCCAGAAAGTTCTGGAGGGCATCAGGCAGGCGGGGCAGGAAGTGGCACCATCAGGGGGTGAGCACGGCAGGGCAGGACGGAGGAGGAGGAGGAGGAGGGGGAGGGGCTTGCCTGGCTGGTCCTTTCAGGGGCGCAGCCCCCCTCACTGCCATCACCCGGCTGTCTCTGCGCTGGCAGCCCAGGGTCACTCTGGGTCCCCTGTCCTTCTTTTCCCAGCGGGTGCCAGCGAGTTCTGAGGGCACTTTCTCCTGCTCCAAGCCTGGGCCCCACATGCATCGCCTTCTGAGGCCACAGCCTCGTCACACGGGGATGAGACTCAGTGCTGCACTGTCGCTGTCATCGTGTTTTTCTGAGTCAGAGTCTCCCTGTGTCACCCACGTGGCCTGGAACCCGCAGTGATCCTCCTGCATCAGCCTCTAGTGCTCCCGTGCTGGGATGACAAGTGTGTGCTGCCACACAAGTCCTCAGCAGCCTTTTTAGCACAATACTTACAAAGGGAAAAGTGAATTAATAGATGCAAATTTTGTTTTGGCTCTTTGAGGCAGGGTAAACTGCGGTTCAGGCTGCCCTGACCTCTCTTTGTAGCCCAAACTGGCCTCAAACCTGCAGCAGTGATTCCGCCTCAGCCTCCCGAGTGCTGGGGCTAACGAAGGCAAATGTGCACAAGCAGGGACAATGGACATGTGAGCTAAAAGTTCTGCCTCATTCTTTTCCCTGCTGGACAAAGGCTGAGTTGATGGCATTCTCTGCAGATCTATGAGCAGCGCAGCAGGTCCTCGGGACTGACTCTGCATTCTGGGATTCAACCAACTGAGGGTCACAAATATTCACAAGTGCTTGCCAGGTGTGGTGGCGCATGCCTGTCATCCCAGAGCTTGGGAGGCTGAGGCGGGAGGATCGCCATGATTTCAAAGCCAGCCGGGGCTACGTAGCAAGACCCTGTCTCAAAACAAAAAAATCGATGAGTACAGCTACAATTTTACAAACTTGGAGAAGTAGATGCCTAGAGGAATAGCCAAAATATCTTGTTTTTATTTTTCCTGTATGCTCTATTTTTTTTAACTAAGGAAAACACATTCTTGTGTAACCCAAACACATAATCATCATAGAAATGGAGAATTTCACTCCATTCCCACTGGGCTCCCGGGAGATGTATCACACAGCTGCAGGGCGGAGCTCGGGATGAGACTCCTCATCCAAGGAGGGGGAGGAGGGGCAGGTCACTTGGAGGGGAGGCTGTGTCCCCAGCATGACCCAGCCCTGCCTCCCTGCAGCCCCTTCGGGTCCAGAGACCTGAGCAGGGGCCAGGATGCCTGGCACCACCCGCCCCACGCACCCAGTGGCACCCCCTCCTCCACCCGGGTAGCAGTGCAGGGTGCCCACTGGGCTCAGACTGGGCTGCCAGACTCACAGCAGGGCTGCTGGCCCGGGGAGCCCCACCTTTCCTGGGGCTGTGGCACTTCCCACTAGCCAGACTCCAGGTGTCCCTGCTGTCCCGGGCAGGCTGTGATGGACTGCAGGTGGGGGTCCAGGCTGCACCCAGTGACGAATTTCCAGGTGGAGAGAGGGGCTTGGGAATCCTCTTGGGTGCATGGCCAGGGCCTAGGGACCCCCGAGCCTTTATGACTTGGCCAGTGTGTACACACGTACACAGACACAGACACACACACACATGTACACACAAACAGCATTGTAGAAAACTATGGTGAGTGTGTTTACATCTTTTTTTTTTTTTTTTTTTTTTTTGTCTTTTTCCTTTTCATCGGTACCGGGGATCGAACTCACGACTGCCTGCTTGCAAGGCAGGCGCTTATGCCGCTGAGCTAAACCCCCAGCCCCTGTGTGTTTACATCTTTTAAAATGTTCTACAGCAGAAGACACACTGCCGGAATCCGACCCCCCTTTTCTTCCTTGCCTGCCATCACCTTCATCCCGGCCACTTCCTGCAGCTGCTCTGGAATCTTTCCTGAGTGTCATTAGTTGTGGCTCCCTGGACATCCTGAATTGTTTCCCTTGGCAATTGTGATTGCTCATGCCTGTAATTCCAGCACTGGGGAGGCTGAGGCAGGAGGATTGCTATGAGTTCAAGATCAGCCTGGACTACACAGTGAAACCTGGTCTGGAAAAAAAACCAAAAAACCTCAAAAAAGTTTCCCTTTCATGATCATTTTGACTTTGGGGAAGAACCGGAAGCCACAGGATGCCAGGTCTGGTGAATATGGTGGAGGAGGACCTGCCACCATCCATCCCTTCATGAGCCCAAATTTCCAGAAGGCACTCAGTGGCAGGTCACCCCTCTTGTAAAGACCCTCAGGAAAGAGCACTGCAGAGCTGCTGTGGAAAGCGGCCAGGACGGTGGGATGAGTGCGCCTGAGGTGAAGGGGAGAAGTCTGAGGGGGACGCATGTAGCATTTTTAAAGTTCCAGTGTTCACGTACATTTTGATCTCTCCTTACACACGTCAGGGTCAGGTAACACACGGGACCCTCTCCCAGGGCAACCTTCAGGCAGGGGAAGCTTCCCGGCACGTGGTCCCAGCACTAGTCCTGCCTCTTAGCGGTCACCTTGGTTCTCAAACTTAACTCATTCCACAATTCTTGGAAAGATGGCCATGTTCATGCTCATCATCCAACTCAGAGTTGGGGAAAGAAAGGTAAATTCCTGAACAGAAGCCCTCGTGAGCCGAGGTAACACTGAACTGAATTTGCTAAATCTGGCATTGACGTGCATGTAAAAATGCACGTGCAAGAGGATGTGCAAATGTGAGCATGCACACCAGTGCAAGAGCACACATTTGTACGTGTGCAAAGGCACGCAAGGCCTGAGTGTGCAAATATGCACAGGGGTGGGTGTGCATCAGAATGAAAGCTGACAGGCTTTCCTGAGTGTGGGGGAGAATGCAAGCTTGTGTGCAATTTGCTATTACAGGGCACAGGTGACTGTGTGCAGATACGAGCGTGCCCACGTGGCTGCAGCCCCATGTGTGCAGAGGACCCCACAGGGGGGCAGGTGTAAAGGGCAGTGTGTGCCTGTAGATATGCGTGCATGTGTGTGTGCACAGACTGGCAAGCTTTCCTCTGTGTCGCCTCTGCAGGTTGCTGTGCCGGGCATCAGGCATCATCTCGCCCCTTAGCCCACGATGCACCTCGCACACGTGTGAAGGTAGCCGATCCGGCTAGGTGGGGCCTTGGCCATGTACACGGCAGGTTAAGTAAGGCTGCGGTCCGGGTGGCTGCCAGATGCTCCCCGGCCCCTGTGCCAGGTGGCAGCAGGTCTGGGAGTCCGTGGCTTTTCCAGCTTTGAGTCTTCTGGGGTGTTTTCCCCACACGCAGGGAAGGGCTGGGGACCGGGACTCTGAACCTCTGAACTGCAGCAGCGGCCTTGGCCTGGGAGTGGCTTTGCAGAGACGGTTGCCATGCCAGTGTCTCCAGGCTCCCTTCATGGCTCTGCCCCGAGGCTGCTCCTCTGGACCTGCCCGGCCTCTCCAGCCCTCCATGCCCTTCCTCAGGTGACAGGGGACGCAGGTGACCTGATGAGCTCACCTTACTCTTTCCCCAGCTGTAGCAAGCATCCCCATGCATCTGTGTCTTTATCTCCCTTCTGCTGTTAAAAAGCTCTTGTCATTTTGAGGCAGAGTCTCGCCATGCAGCCCAGTCTGACTTCCTGTGAGCCCAGGTTGGCCTCAAATTCAAGATTTTCCTGCCTTAGCCCCCCAAGTGTTGTGCACTACCCTGCCTGGCTTTTGAGCTCCCTTCTGCAAGGACATCAGCAGGTTTGGGGCTGGGTCCACAGGAGTGACCTTGTTTTCACACGGTGGCCTCTTTAAATGCCGTCTCCAAACAGGGCCCCATCTGAGGCACTGGGGGAAGGGGCTGGACTCTGATGGGCCCCAGCCTCTCGGAGCAGCCCTGGGTGCCTCCCCCACCCATGCCCTGAGGTCATCGGGACCCCAGCCCTGGGGGCGCCTCCTGGGCTTCCTGCCCAGCTGTCAGAGATTGCAAGAGTCCATTGCTTAAAGCAGCTTCCATCCCTGTTCCAGGGCCCAGGAAGCAGGAAGTCCCTTCCAGAGGCTGGGGGAGGCATGTGAGCCCTTCCCAGGTCCAGGCCACTGCCTTCCTAGGCTCTGGCCTCTCTTCCACCTCAGTGAAAGTCTAGCAGGGTGTAGTAATGCACACATCTGTAATCTCCAACTCTGGGAAGCTGAAGCAGGAGGATCCCAAGTTCAAGGTGGCTTTAGTGGCTTATGAGACACTGTGTCAAAATCAAAAGTAAAACCGGGCTGGGCGTGTAGCTCAATGTGAAGGCTCCGGGCTGCATTTCCATCCCTCTGCTCTGCCTCCCTGAACCACTTACCTGGTGACACAGGGGGGCCCTCCACCTGCACCCCCCCTCACCTGCCCCTGACCTTGAGGGTGGTTCCTGGCTCTGCCCCTTCCCTGGAGCTGGAGGGGACACACCCCAGGATGTGCAAATGTGAGCATGCACACAAGCATGCCTTCCCCTGGGGCGCAGTGACTGGGGGCCAGGATGCCTAAAGCACATTCCCTGGGGGAGTCAGGATTTGGAGTGGCATCGTCCTCTCTCCTGAGGCACTGAGGGCCTCGGCCACTGTGTGACGTGTCCCGGAAAGGCCAGTCTCCAGGGAACAAGGACAGAGCCTTCCCACTGCCCCAGCCATGGGTCTGGGGGAGCCATGACTCTGGTCCCTCCCTACCCCGACCCTGTGTCTGCCCAAGCCCGGATGTGCCTCTCAGTGTGTGGAGACCATGGAGTCCCTTGCTAGGTGGCAGTGGCCTGAGCTCCTCTGTGTCCCCAGATGTCCTTCCTGATCCCCAACTTGCACAAGGGCAGCTGAGGGCCCAGGGGCCTTCAAGCCATGTCTGCCTGGAGTCTTGGGGGGATCCTGACCCCCAACTCCAGCCTGGGACCTCACCACAGCGCCAAGCCTATGCCTTAGAAGTGGGGTGTGTGGGGGCCCGGGTGCCCCGGTTCTGCAGTCTTGTCAGGTCCCCACTGGTGCAGGCCAGAGCTCCCTTCCGCTGTGGCCCCGATGACTGGGGCTGGGATGGGAGGAGCAGGGAGGCAGAGGTGTCTGAATCAGACTGGTGAAGGAGACACTGATTATTCCCACAGCCCCCCTTCTGCTTGGCGGCGGGGTGGCACCCCTGTACTACATTTTAATCGCACCCCATGTAGACACTCAGGAGAGAGGATCCGCACTGCTTTAGAAAGCGGAACGGATGATGGGTCAGTGCGTTCCAGGACAAGCAGAGATGCTCAGGGAATTCGTGGCGATGTGTCCATTTATTTTTTTGTCTGTATTTTGGGTTCTTTGAGACCGGATCTTCCTATCAGCCCAGACTGCCTTTGAACTCGAGGTGATCCTCCTCCCTCAGCCTCCGAGTGCTGCATTCCAGGTGCATGCCATGGCACCTAGGTAATGCGTCTTATTTAAACACAAACTGTATTTTGGCATCATTACCCTCTCTGCTGGGGAGGGAGCAGGGTGGGGGTGCAGTCTCTGGGGACCAGTAGGTTGGGCAGAGGCAGAACAGGCCTTGTGTCCAGGGGCACAGACAGTCCACGTGGACAGCTGCATCACTGACAACCCCGGGGACCACCATCACCTTCCCTGACAGATTAGCACACTGGGGGCTGGGAGCGGCTGTGAGACCTGAGCCAGCGGGTACTTGGGCTCTTCTGCAGGAAGTGGCTTCGAGGCCCCAACCTTTAGGGCCCCCTAAATCCTAAAGACACTCATCCCTCAGCCCCTAAACAGGAAGAACTCCTGGGTAGCCCTGCTGGGAACATGGACCCCAGCAGGGAGCAGCTGTATCTCCCTGGTGTAGTGAGCCGGGGTTGACAGCACAGATCTGTGTTCCCAGCACTCTAGGAGGCTGAGACAGGAGAATCCCAAGTTGGAGCTCATCCCAGGCAACTTATTCTGAGACCCTGTCTCAAAATAAAGAAGGGCGGGGGATGTAGCTCAGTGTGAGGGGTGAATTCATTCTCTAGTAGTGCCCCCCCAAGCTTGCTCCAGCCTAACCCCAGGTGACAGATTCCAGATAGCGGGGAAAGGGCAAGAGAAGCCGGCTGCAGCCAGCACCTGGGAACTGCAGAAGGGACCTGAAGCAGTGGAAACTGCCAGGAATGAAGGCAGGTGCCAGCTATGCCCTGGAGCTCCCTGTGGGCAGAGCTCCCCGTGGGCATGGAAAGCAGGGAGATGAGGGCAGAAAGGCTAGAGGGGGGGACTCTGGCTCCCTGTGTCCTAGTGCCCGGCCCCAGGGCAGAGCAGCACTGGCCTGAATCTGGAGGAGAGGGGCCAATTGGCCTGTCCCAGGAAGGCCAGAAACGGGCCAGCCTGTGCCCGGTGCCCTGGCCAGTGCTACCTTGGCCTGCATGGGGCTGGACGCACCAACAGCTCCCTGCACATGCTACAAAGCCCATGCCTGTTGGCCCAGCTGCCATCTGCATTGTCAGGAGGTCCGCACACAGCTGAGCCCTGGACCACGGCCGTGTGGGAAACACCGCCGCTCAAGCCCTCGACAGCCGGGCATCCAGGTGGGTGCGGCAGGCATCCAGCAACCAGGACCAACAACCACTGCAACGTGATGAGATCCTGCCCCTCCTGCTGCCCTCTCGGTCTCCCCTGTTGTTCCTAAGCGGAAGCCAAGCCAAGCCAGGCCCCTGGCATTTGGAGCGGAGATCTGGAGTCTGGGCAGAGGGGCAGGGGCCAGACATTGCCAGCCGTGCCAGTCACAGGGGTCACCTGCAGTCATCGGCCTCCAGGGTGGAGAAGCAGAGTCTGCGGCCTGGCAGCCAGGCCCCGCTGCTGCTCTCTGGCCCGTGGCGGGCAGGCGGCTCACCAGGCTGAGATGAGCATCTGGCAGGTGTTGGAGGACATCCAGACCAGCTCCACCAGGCGGAACTGGAAGTAGCCGATGGCGAAGCCTGAGAGCACGTCGGTGATGTGGTGGCGGCCGATCATGACGCGGGACAGCCCCACGCAGAAGGCCCAGAGCACCAGCAGCACACGCAGCGGCACCGCCAGCACCAGGTGACTCAGGAAGAACTTGGACACCATGGCAGCACGGCTGGCGTGGCCAGCAGGGAAGGCGTAGAGGTCCATGGTCAGGTGGTCCAGCAGGCTGGGGCTCGTCTCGTAGGGCCCGCGCCGCTTGATGAGCTTCTGCACGCCTGCCACTGTCATGATGTCCAGGAGCAGGGCTGCAGATGGGGACAGAGGCAGGCATCAGGGCCATTCCCCCGAGGGAAGCCCCATCCATGAACCACCCAGTCCCATGGGCCCGGTCCCCCAGCTCCTGTCAATCACCAGGCTGCATCCTGCCTCTAGGGACTTGCCTTGCATGCACATTTCCTGTCAATGGAATCAGGGAGTCAGTGGCCTTTTGAGTGAGGCTTCATGCCCTTGGCCTAACCTTTCAAGGTTTACCCAGGTCGCAGAGGGCTCAGGACCATTCCTTTATCCTGACTGAATAATATTCCACAGGTCAGAGATGCCACAGTGTCATCATCTGTGTCTGGACCCTGGGCTGTGTCCACTTGAGCCCATGGTTATAATGTGGCTGCTGTGGAGGTCCATGGGTAGGATTTTTGTCTTTTGGTCTTTGGGGTGTTTCCTTAGCAGTGGAGCTGGGGGGATCACATGGTAGCTCTCTGGTAGCCATGAGGGCACAGCATCTGTGGGGCCCTCTGCAGGGATGGCACAGATGACCCCACAGGTAGGTGGCAGTGATGTGACTGTAGGTCACCTGATTGTCCTCCTGACTGTGCCCACTTGTCCCCTAGATGGGACCACCTCCAGGGTCTGCAGGTGACCAACCATCACTACAGTGCCCCCCCCACTGTCAAAGTCCCACCCCCCAGACAGGCTGGCTGGGTGAGGAATTATTACCAGAGGGCAGATAAACTGGAGTGGGGCGTGGTGGCACAGGCCTGTGATCCCAGCACTCTGGGAGGCTGAGGCAGGAGGATCACAAGGTGGAGCCCAGCCTGGAAATTTAGTGAGATCCTGTCTCAAATGCAAGAGGACCAGGCATGGAATAGTGCGCAGCCAGCATGTGGTACAGCTGGATGGTGCCTGCTGGCCTTTACCAGGAAGCACCAGGTGTCAGAGGTTTTCCCCACAAGGCTCAGGGCACAGCCACAGGCAGGGGACACAGGGCCTAAACCTCCCATGCACCCAGGATCCAGGTCCAGTGTTGAGAAATCTTGCTAGGTAGCCCAGACTCAATTTAAACTCTGGACCCTCCTGCTTCAGCCTTCTGAGTGCTGGGATGACAGATCTGGCTTAGACACAAACCTTTCCCGTTCAGTAGCAGGGCAGCCTCCAGGGAACAGCACAAAAACCAGGACACATGGGACTTCAGTGTCTGACACTTGTTCTCTGCCCCCAGAGAGACCTCAGGGGAAGCTCCTGGGGACACTGTGCCAGCTGGGGCTGGTGGGCCAGCTGCCAGGCCCCTAGGGTTCAGAGAGGTCCCATGGTCTTGCCTGAGACAGCAAAGTCATCGCGGGTCTGGTGGCGCCTGTGGCCTCCCCTAGCCATCTGTGCAGCTGGGCCCCTGGACTCAGCTGAGGGACTCACCCAGGTTCCCCTCACCTGCAGGTGGTCGTGCACAGGGGCACAAGGGGACCTCGTGTGGCCCCTGAGGGTGAGTGGGGGCCGCTGTCCCCCCGGGGGGCGCTGGGGGATGGGTGCAGGGAGCTGGGGGCCAGCAGAGCGTGCCAGTGACAAACTGAGCAAAGATGGGGCCTTCTGGGAACTGGGGTGGCCAGAGGGGGACAGGGGGCCAGCGGGGTGGGAGGGTCCTGGAGCAGCTGAGGCTGCCTCAGCACCTGCTCCCTCTGTGGGAAGCCGGCCGTCTCCGCAGCACCAGGGACAGCGCTGAAAACGCAGTGACCCGCGTCCTTCCCGTCCTTCCCGCACAGAGGCTGAGTCTAGACAGCCAGCGCTGGCACCGCTACAGCGGGAGGATTTATAGCCCTGCGGGAGCCGCCGACCAAACAGCAGGAGCTGCTCCAGACAGAGCACACACAGGAACCACACTGCTGCCTGCTGGGAAGGGGAAGGGCTGTCATTTCCCTTCGTGATTTTGCGCTAAAAGATGTCCTCACTGTGCAGGGTGGCGTGGGGCAGGTTTTTTAAAAGGTTTTTAAAATCTTTTTTTGGGGGGGGGCTGGGGATTTAGCTCAGTAGCATAAGTGCCTGCCTTGCAAGCAGGCAGTAGTGAGTTCAATCCCCGGTACTGGTAAAACAAAAAAACAAAACAAAGTTGTGAGTTTGATCCCTGGCACCTAAACAAATAAATAAATAAATAAATAAATAAATAAATAAATAAATAAATTTTTTGAGCTAGAATCTTGCTACGTAACCTAGAATAGCTTTGTGAACTCAGTAGTGATTCTCTCCTGCCTCAGCCTCCCAAGTGCTGGGATTACTCGAGTGGCCCACCACACCGGTTTAAAAAGGTTTTTTTGTTGTTGTTATAAAAGGGCAATACTGTGTGACTTCACTTACCGGGGGTGCTTGGGGCAACGGTGGTCACAGAGACGAAATAGCACATGGCTGTGGGTGGGGCGGAGAGCTGTCACCTCACGGGGCAAGTTTCAGCTCTGTAGGGTGGACGGGGTGGCGGCTGCATAGTCACACACAAACAGTTAATGCCACCGGCCCCCGGCTTAGAAGTGCTGGAGAGGGGCCGGGTCATGCACTGGGTGTTTTATAAACACACAGGAAAGATTATTTCAAAACCAGTAAACCAGCCAGGTGTAGTGGCTCACGCCTGTCATTCCAGCATGCAGGTGGCTGAGGCAGGAGGATCCTTGCAAATTCGAGACCAGCCTGGGCTACAAAGTGAGCTCAAAGCCAACCTGAACTGCATAGTGAGACCTTATCTTAATTTAGAAAAGAAAGAAAGAAAGAATAAAGAACAAAAATAGTAAACCTGGTCACGGTTGTGACCGCAGATGCCACTGCAGCCTGAGCTTCCCCAAGGCCGCCTCGACCTTAGCTGAAAGCACTTCAAGGTCAGTGGCTGGCTGCTGTCTGCTCCCTTTGGCCGAAAGCCACCCTAGATATTTTTCACAGTACCCCAGGGTTGTGGTTTCGACCTCATTTTTGTCTAAAAATTTCCCCTTGCTACGTGAGGCGGGGCAGGCCTGTCGTCCCAGCACGTGGAGCAAGGCCCCATCCAAAAAACAAAACAAAACAAACCCCTCCCCCAAAACTCAAATCTAATTATGAGACATAAACAATAAAGCTTCTAAAACATGAAATTTGGTAAACGAGGTTCTTGAAGACAAAGAGATTCAATGAAGGCAGCACGGCAGGTCTTGCTCACGCCATGGAGCAGTAACTCTGCGCCCATAGCAGGACGGTAGGAAGGGCCCAGGAACCTCATCCTAACACGGGAGCTGCAAAAACTTAAATGTCCGGGACAGGGGAATCTTTCTTAAAAGCGATGTTCATGCTATAAGAAAATCAGAAGGAAGTAGAGCTGCTTTAGTGGTGTTTGAGGGGCAGCTGCCTTGCTTGCCTCCTACGACGGGGAGCTCATCCCTCCACCAGGTACCCCCCCCCCCCGCGCTCTGTGCCTCACTATATCTAGGCTCCCAAGCAGCCCAGACCTGCGAAGACGCAGGGCAGAGCTGGAGTTGTGCCCCATGCCAGCCCAGCTCCATCCCTGCACGACCTTGGGCTTTGTGCCTCAGTTCCCCCCTAGCAATGGATTGAGCCATTGGGCTTGGCCACCCATCCCCTGACCCCAGGCCACGCAGGCGCAGCACTGCCTCAGAGCCTCGGATTTCCCGGAGGCTTCTGTGGGCACCTGGGAAGCTTCGGACAGCAGGAGCAGGTTCTGCCCACTTGGCTCTGTCCCTCTCGCCAGGGCCCAGGCATGGTCCATAAAGAACAGACCCCCATGCATCGGGGGGCCTGATGAAAACCCCCCTCTAAGGCAGGCCCGGCCACCTTAGGGACAGGAACCTCAGATTCATTTTTCTGTTTTTGAGGCAGGGTCTCACTGTGTAGTTTAGGCCTTGAACTCACTATGTAGCCCAGGCTGTTCTGAAATCCTGGCAATCCTCCTGCCTCAGCCTCCTGAGTGCCAACACAGGCGTGGCTACCACCACAGACCACTGGAACCCCAGTTACTAATCTGTAAAGTGGGTATGGTAGGGCCCCAGGTCCCAGTGCTCTCTTTGGAAAGAGAGAATAATCAGTGCCATGCTGGTAATTTCCTAACAAGGACAGGCTCCCTTTTGGTGGCAGCGGACTCAGCTACCTGCTCCCCGAGGGCCCAGCTCTTTCTTCTGTGTCTCCTCTGCCTCCAGCTCCAGGCCAGACCTTCGGACCGGAGGGGGAGATGCGTGTTCTCACCGAGCCTCTGTTGGACCTCAGCTCCCCCAGGGCCAACCTGCAACCCCTTTGGAACCCAGACACTCGGCTCATATGTCACTCCATCTCCCAAGTGACAGCCACCAGAGAAGGGTGGACGCCAAGGCCTCCAGAGGGTGGCAGGATGGGATCTGGGTGTCACTGCTGGGTGGCAGGGGTACGGTGACTTGTCTCCCACGTGGATCTCTTGTGGCTGCTGGCACAGGGCCGTCAAAGATACTGGGGACTGAGCTACTCCGGCTACACCCCAGGGAAGGAGCAAGTGATGGCTCTGGGCTTGGGGGGGGGTATCCCAGACTGGTCCCTGGGTCCTCAGATCCTGTCAGGGCATCGTGGATAGCCCACAGTGTCCCTGACCAAGTGGGCTTGGGGTACAGTGGGGACAGCTAGAAATCACCACCTGCAAACAGCCTGGGAACAGGACCCCGACCATGGGCGGAGGGGGACAGTGACCCCTGGCTCCAAGACACCCCTGAGGTCACCACTGCCTGCGCCAGCTTCCTCTAAGTGGCCTTTCACAGTGGCACTCCTGGGGGAGAACCCCTGCAGGACCTGCCTCTTTCTGGGGCTCCTTCCTGCCTAACCTCATTAGCGTGGTCCAGCCGCCTTCCCAGGCCAAGCGCTGGGGGTGGCCCTGGTGGCCCTAAGGCCGCAGGCCCGGGCGCGGCGCACTCACCGAGGAGCAGGTTCATGAGCACCTCCTGGCCGGCCAGGGTGCTGCTCTTCACCAGGCAGAGAATGGTGCCCCCAATCCAGGGCACGCCGTGGCCCGTGATGCCGATGAGCTTGACCATGGAGCGGGCGCTGGCCCAGGACGCGGCCCGGCCGGCGCACACGCCCAGCCGCTTGGACATGCAGATGTCGATGGCCAGCAGGGAGTTGAAGGCGATGCCTCTGAACGAGGGGTTCAGCTGCATGCAGTCCTCCTCGGGCAGCTGCTGGGACTGGCGCCGCTCGCGGGGCCCCTCGCTGGTGGGCGGGGGCTGTGCCGAGGGCCCCGGGGCCTTCCTGGCGGAGCCGCGGGGCTCTGGAGTCCCCTTGGGGGGTTGGTTCAGGGACAGGAACTCGGCCCGGTTGAGGACGTTGCTGCGGTCCCGGGCGCGGGCCCTGCTCTGGGAAGCTGGCATGCTGTCCCTCCCTGCGCGGTCACCCCGAGAAGGCCGGTGCCAGCCCGGCTCCAAAGGCCTTGCCCTCCAAAACCAGGGCCGCCCCAGCTGCCACCACTGTCACCTGCCTCCTCTTCCCTGCAGCAGCTGTTAAATATAGATGAGAGGCGCACACATGGCTGTTTACCTCCGCTGTCACCCGCTCCGCGCGCACGTCAGCGGCAGCTGGGTGGCCAGTGGAGCCCACCCCTGAGGGCCGCGCCAATGAACCCACCGGGAGGTGGACGAGTCCACGGCCGAGGGAGGGGGGCGCCTGGGCTATTTAAATCTGCCAATGGCTGCCCCCCGGCTCCAGAGGATTCTGGGAAATGTAGTCCTGATGCTCTGGGCTGAGCTGTGGCCTCAGCTCTGGCCTCAGCTGTGGCCTCACCTCTGGCCCAGACAGAGACGTTCTCTGGGTTTACTTTTGCCAGCTTCCTCCTTCCCAGCAGTCCAGACCCCTGGGAGCCCAGCATGCTGCCCTCCTTCTGGGCGGTGTGGACCCAGTAGGGCTGGGAGGGAGAAGCCCCGCCCGAGCGGGCAGCTGACGATGGAGTTCGTGACGTCACCCAGAGCATCAGATTCTGGTCCCTGGGGCCAGGCCAACTCCTCTCTGTGACAGCTTTTCATTAAGCTGGCAGGCTGGGTTGCTTTCCTTTCAAGTCCGCCTTGAATTTGGAGGAGGGCTTCACAGGCAGTCTGCGAATTTGATCTTCATGATGGGGTAATGAATTGGACAGGGTGCGGATCCAGTTCCAGTGTGCTTTGAGTTATGCAAAGGGCAGAGGCACTACGGCAGCCTCCTCGGGCAACCCAGAAAGAGCTCCAGGGCACCTGGCCCGAGCAGAGCTGAGCAGGCTGCAGAAGGGGAAGCCGGCCCACGAAGTCCGCCCACGAAGCCCACAGTTCCATGGGGGTCCAAGGAGTTGAGTCACATAAATGATTGTGACTGTGCTGCAGGATGGCAGGTCTGGGGAATGGCAGGTGTCCAGGGGGTTGTCCCCCAGGAAGGGCTGTGACCCCTGTGCCAGATGCATGGTGTGAGGGGGTCAGAGGCTGCATCCCCAAGATGGTAGGCTGAGCGCATCCTGTCGGGCATCTGGGACTTGAGACAGGGCTCCCTAGGTAACCTTTCAGGGTTTCCCCACAGCCGGAAGGACCCAGACCTGCCTCAGGCTGTGAGTCTTTGAACAAGTCATACCATGATCCTGTGCATCAGTTTCTCTGTCTGTGACACAGACATAACAGTGCCCAGCTCTGAGGCGCTCAAGGAGATGACATTTGTAAAACGCCAAGCAAGGTCCCCGTCACCTAGTGAACCTTCAGCCTCCATGAGAGGAGCTGACTTCACTGGACACAGAGAGCCAGGCCCGCTCTCAAACAGGTCCCGATGGTCTGGTCCCCACCGCATCCCTGGAGGAGCAAAGCCAGACTCTAGGTGACCTCGGTGTGAGGTTCCTTGCATCCCATGCAGGCAGAGGAGACAAGGCTCGCCCCAGTACCTCCTGCCTCTTCCATTCTGCCTGAGGCACCCCGACTGCATCACATTCTGCCTCTTGAATGTGCCAGTGGCTGTGAGCCACAGTGTGGGGACCAGATGACCCTACAGAGGAGGAGGGTGAGCCTCGGAAAAATGAAGGGATCCAGCCAGGAAACCAGGAAGAATGGGGAACCCACTCCGGCGCAGTCCTCAAGGTGGGCATGGAGGCCCTGGACTCGGCTCCTTTCGGCTGATTTTCTGGCCAGCGCACTCATCTCACCATGCCTGGACACAGCCCATGACCCTGGCTGGCCTTGGCAGGGTGAGGAGCCCAGCCTGGATGGACTATTAATACCCAGAGGCCTGGGTCAGCATTTTCATCTGGCCAGAGTGTCCAGCAAGATCTGAGGAGGGCCCTGAGTCCGGTTTAGCTCCAGCCCAGGGGCGGAAGACATGGGCCCCGGGAAAGACCACAGGAAGTCCTTTTTCTCTGCCTGGCCTCTGTGTGCTCTTTCGAGGGCCAGTGGGAGGATCATGTCGAGGCTTTATGCATTCTGTGACCTAGGACCTGCTGCTGCTGTCTCTAGAAGCTGGGATGACCCTGGTCACCTTCCTAGGTGACTGAGAAGTGAGAACAATTTCTCCTCTACAACTCCTCATGAGCACCACCATCAGCTTCATTTATTCATTCAATCAATGCTTTCCTTGATCTTTTCCTGCAAGCTTGCTGGGGAGACAGGATACCCAACCCTGGAAACCAGCTTGCTTATCAAACTGACCGTGCACCACCAGCCAACACCCTTTTCTTACTACCAAAATGTCACTACTTGCTGGGTGTGGAGGTGCACACCTGTGATCCCACACTCAGGAGGCTGAGGCAGGAGGGTCACTGTGGGTCTGAGGCCAGCCTGAGCTACATAGTGAGACTGTGTGTCAAAAAAAAAAAAAAAAACTTACTGCAAGAAACTCGATATACACAGATAATGCAGGTGTAATCCTATCACCTGGAAACCAACACGGTTAGCACAAGGTAGTCAGTTTATAAAGCGATTCTCACTTGTCTGGTTTCAGGTTATTATAATATTTTATATCAACCAAGTATCCTTTTAATAATCAGAAAATACACATGAAACCACCTGTGTTTATGCACGGTGCTCCTATAGACACAAAAATGCATTTATAAATGTGATACACAGTTAAAAAATGCAGCTAACCCTTTTCACCCAGCAGTAAACTTGGCCCTGTTTCCATGCCAACTCCTGCATTTTCAGTGACTTCCTGTGGCTCTGCCTAGGGAAGGGGCACAGTGTCTGCAGACCCATGCTCTGAGGGGTGACTGCCCCCAGACACTGTGCAGGGGCACCGTGGGGCAGGGCAGAATGGAAGTGACCCAAGTGACAAGTGGCAGATGAGACACTGGTTGTCTCCCGGGATTCCCCAGCTGCCTGCTGCAGCGCCCAAGAGTCCGGGAAGCAGGAAGGGGCCCTGGAGAGGTCTGGGGACAGGCCAGGTTCAGCCACCTCTTCCTGCTGCACAGAGGGGACACCCTGAGGCCACAGCAGGCCTCTGCCCCAGGGGGCGAGCTGTCTCCTGGCTTCATTGTGCCATGGTGTCTCTGCTTCAAGGCTTCATTGCTTGACCACGAGGTCACAGACAAGATTTGTCCTGTGGGGCCAGGAGGAAAAAGCTCCGTGAGCCAGCTGGGACCCCAGGGGTCAGACATCCTCCCTGTCCCCTCCCCTGGACAACCCAATGGGTTCTTCCTTCCTGTTTTCCAGGTCATTCTCAAACACTCCCCAAGCCTCGGGGCCCAGAAGAGCCTAGAGAAGGCCCCGGAAGGGGTCAGGAGCCAGGCACTGAGAAACCCCAACAGAGCCTGCCCTGAACGCCCCTGCGCCCCGGATTGCAGAGCCCTTCTCTGAACGCTCCCGAGTCCCCAGAGCCGAGGTCTGCGGGGGCCGTTTTCAATAGAGAGAGGGAGGGGTGGGGGTGGCGTGGGGTCCCCTGCCGGCAGAGGCCGGAGCCCCGTGCGGGAACCTTTCCTCCCCGCTCGCCGTCCTATCGCTTCGCGGCTGCTTTTCGAAGGCCGCTCCTGGGCTATTTTGGTCGGGAAACCTGATCCCGCGCAGGGTTTATTTTAGCACCTTGGAGAACTCCCAGTGCCGCACCCGATCCCCGCTGCGCCCAGCCTGCCGTCGCCCCTTCGGTGTTCGGCTCCCCGCGGCGCCGGCCTGGGACTCCTCACCCCGGCGCGGGGAGGTCCGGGCGCCGGAGGGCGCAGCCCCTGCATCGCCCACGGCGGCCAGACCCGCGCGTCCCCGGCCAGGCGGGGAACCCTCACGGCCTTGGGGGCTTCCGTGCAGCCTGTCGCCCACGGCGAGCCCACATCGCACCAGGGACAGCCCCAGGCGTCCACGCAGCCATGACCACACGCAAACACCCACTTGTAGACACACTGACACCGTCACCCACGCGCCACAGACACAACCAGGCCGCATGCAGACACGCCTCACCCCACCCGCTCACACACACCTTGTATACCATGGCACAGCACACACGCGGCCCCCACTCCCACGCGGTTACACGCCTCACCCACACTTACATGGCAACGCTCACACACCAGATACACAGCTCCGCCTTCCCCAGGCGATGCAGAACTGTCATGCACGCACACGCATGCACGCGCGCACACACGCACACGCACGCACGCCCCTCTCCTAACGTACTTCCTCGCGTGCCCCAGCTCACCCTGGGCCCCGGGCCGTGTCCCACGCCCCTCCAGCCCACCCGCACACCCCCTTCCGGATCACAGCCCTAACTACTGCCTGTGGGCCAACACACTGATCATCTATGTCACACACCCCTTGTCGTCCCTGGACGACCAGAGCGTCCCTCTGCCCGTAGGAAGGTCAGCGTTGTGGTCCCAGAAGCTCAGAGTGTCCGGCCCGACCCAGGGATCCATCCCATCAGTGGTGCAGGAGGAATGACCTCACAGGTGACAGGAGGCGGCAGTCTGAGCCTAGCAGGCCCTGGAGAGGTGTGGGCTGGGCCAGCTTGAGTTCCAGAAGGGCGCCCTAGAGGTCCCGCTGTCCCCCACGCCATGCTCTTAGTCTCTCAGAATGGCATTTTTGTTGAACTGGGGGCCAGATGAGTAGGGGCCTAGCTTCGGAGACCTCCCTCCATGACCTTGCTAGCCTCTGTACCCATCTAAAGGCAGCCTGTGAGACCACCCTTCGGCCACCAGGTCCCTTTTCCTGCAGCCTGAGGCCCCCTGGGGGAGACAGCGGGGCCTACACCTGGATCTCCCCTCAGCCACCTGGGCTGCTCCGGGCCACGCCCACCGTCTCCCGGTTAGAGGTTCCGGGCCTTGCCATTGGCTTTCTCTGAGGCCCAAACAATTGGGGAGAGAACCCCGTTTCCCAGGGCAACAGAATCCAGCATTTAACTTTGCGATCTGCACAGTGGGGACTTTTCTCTCCTCTAAGATGCTTCTCAGGCTACATGGTGACCCCCTCTTCGGAGGGGGGGAGGCCCTGGAGAATCTGCTGTGATCCTGAGTGCAGGTTGGTCTGAGGGACCGGCGAAGCATAGACCCTGGCCTAGGTGGCCTCCGTACGTTTGGGGACTGCCCTGTAATGGCCCAGCTGGTAGGGCTCACAGCCAGGCTGCCTGGAGGAGGTGGCAGGGACCAGAGAGATCAGCCTGGAACCAGGGACTCCCAGCCGGGCCTTCTCGCTGGCCAAAGCAGAGTCCTGGCAGGGGTGTGGGGGCAGGTGCAGGCACAGTCTTCTCTCTGCAAATCCCTACCCATAGAAGCCCCTTTGGTGGGGCTTCCTGGTGGCCAGGCCCCAAGGTCCATGGGGAGCTGAGTGGGGTTGGCATGTGGACTCTTTCGAAGTGGCTGTCTTCTGACCCCAGGTTTCTCGGACAGCTCAGGGTCAAGGTCAAGGTCCAACGCTGGCTTGAGCAGGGCTTTAGCTTTACCACCACTGGCCCAGGACCCAGGGACAGGGGCACTGTCACTGCCAGCTGGCCTCGGGAGGAACCCAGCCCTCCAAAGACACCCTCAGGGGCTCCACTGAACAACATGGCCACTGTAGCCCCACTTTCCACAAAGGGTCATGCAGCTTGGCACATGTGCTTGGGACACCCTTAAACTCAGGACCGTAGTCCCCACACGGTGTCCCCCCTCTTGAGGATGAACCTGGCCAGTGGAGTCTGTTCCTTTCTAGGCAATTGGGGCCATGGAGAACAGGAAATGAGGCCCACACCCTGGAAGCTGATTTCTCCTTGACACCTAACCCTCATCTGATGGCTGAGGGGAGTTCCAGGGGTTGGGCTGTTTTGTGGGAGCCATGAGCTTGCGTCAGGGAGAGGTCACTGTGGGTGAAGAGGCCAGAGACTGCTTCCCAGTGGTGGAGGGGTACCCAGGGACCCAGGTACGGTCTGGATTCCACCATGTGACAGCAAAGGGTCCACAGGGGTCACCCCCGTGCCATTGGCTTGGCCACCCTGACAATCTAAAGCTGAGTCCAAGGACTAGGAACAAATTACCACCAGCAGAACAGCAAAAGGATGACCCCACAGGGGGACATGGGCCACAGACCATGACCCCTTCCTGTGCTGTGGCTGAGCTGGTGTTGTGAGATGGTCACCCAGCCTGGTGGGTGGTCCCCCTGGGAGGGACCCCACAGTGGCTGGAACTATCCCCTTTCTCCACTGGGCCTGTGTCCAGTTGTGGGCACTTGTGGAAACCAGATTCATGGGTGGGGGGAAGGGTATGGCCTTGGTGGGTTTCTGATGTCACAGATCTCTTGGCCTGGGGGTCAGGACGGGAAGGAAGCTGCTTAGAAAGTTCCCCTGGCCCCCCACTGCACCTGCTCAGATTCCCCGGTCCTGCCCTCCATAGATACTTGCTAAGGTGGAGCCAGGGCCTCTCTGGTGGCCCAGCTCTGCGAAATAGCACACTGGGCCTCCCTCAGCGTTGGCTGATGGGGATGAAACGCCTAGCCCTGGACAGAGGTCTCTCATACGGTGCCCCCCAGCAAGTCTCCCCCAAACTTCGTTCCCCCATATCCCCAATCTTCCCGCTCTGGAGCCTTCCAGAGACTTCCCGCCCTCACAGCCAGGATCCCCCGGGGCCCAGGCCGAGGAAATTCCTCGGTCTGCGGAGGTCAAAGGGCACAGGGAGCAGCCCCCCCTGTATCCGATACAGAGGGAACTACACTACCCAGAATTCCTGGGGTTACTCGAAAAGGAAATGTCGTTTCTGCACGGAGAGGCTCGGCTCCCCTAGCAGCTGCAGAGAGGGAGGGAGGAGGGGGATCTTGGGGGGAGGGCGCGGGGGGTGCGGGAGCGAGCGCGGGCGGGGAGGAGGAGGCGGTGCTCGCCTGCCCGCCCGCCCGCCGCCGCCTCCGGACTTGCATCCCTCCCGGCGGGGCGCGCGGTCCTGCGTGGCGGGTTGCGCTCGGGCCGGCGGCTGCGGGCTGGCGCGGGGGACGGGCCGGCGCAAGGGCCGAGTTTCGGCAAAGTTTGACCCGGTTGCCTTTCCGATGCCGCAGCAGAGCGGGGCGGCGTGGGGCGCGCAGGGCTTCTGCGGCGCGGCGCGGGGTTGAGCGGCGACAGCGCGCTCACCATGATCGTAAAATAAAGGAGGCGCGCGGGGTCGGGGCGAGAGAGCCCCGAGCCTCAGCCTCCGCCCCCGGCCTCCCCCAGCAACCCCAAGCCGCCGTGACCCCAGTAGAGACAGAGCCCAGGGACACTGTCCAGGGGAGAGTCGGGGCGTCCGGAGGGCGCGGCCGGGCACACGGAGCAGCCCCGGGGCAGGTGAGTGGCGGCGCCCGGGTCGGGGCGCGCGCGCAAAGTTCCCGGCCACCGAGCGCTTGGAACGCCCGGGGCCTGGGTCCGCAGGGGGCTGGCGAGGGGACCGCCGCGCGGGACGCGGCGCAGTCCCGGGGTTCAGCGACCCCAACGCGTAAAGGGGCTCGTGCCAATCAGACGGGCCTCGGGGACAGGGTGCGCCCCCAGGAGACCTGGGGGACCCACCTGGCCGTGAAGGGCGCGCGGTCCCCAGCAGTGTACCGCCCCCCCCCCCTGTCGCGCCCGGGGCGCAAGTCAGCGGCGATGTCACCGGCGCGATTATTCGCTGGTGAGCGCGGCGGCGCGGCCGCCACTGACGGGGCGGGCGGGCGCTGGGGGTGGGGACGCCGCCTCCGGGGAGACCGCCCAGCCCGCGCCGCCCGCCCGGCAGCCGCGCACACGCGCCGCCGCCCCTGAGCGCCCCCGCAGTAAAGTTGGGCTCAACTTTGATGCGCTGTCCCTTCCGCCTCCCTGCAGGTTCTCTTCGCGCACAGCCCGGGAGCCCCGTACGGCGGCGGCGGGCGGCGACAGCGACCGCGGCGAGGGGCACGCAGCGCGCCCGCGTGGGGGCGTCTGACCCTAGCCTGCCAGTGGGACCTCAGCCGCGCGGACAGAAACTGCGCTCCTGCCGATTGGGCGCCACCGGGCGGGCGCGGGTGCCCGGGCAGCGCGTGCGGAAGGCGGAGGGGAGGAAGCCGGGCGCCTGCGGGGAGGGTGGCGGCGCGACCCGCCGCAGGGACTGAGCGCCTTTCGCCGCTGCTTTCCCGGACTTTGGCGAGCGACCCAAGCGGCCGTCTCCGAGACTGAGACACGGAACACCATGCTGGTCCATTAAACTCCAAACTTTTCTTTTTTTAACGCAAAGAATATTGGTGATTTTTGTGCATTGCTAAAAGAAGAGAGACAGAGAGAGGGGGAGCCCAGGCGCTTGAGATGCCGCGAAATCCTTATTTATAAACAGGCCCGCAGTCGTGCGAGCTTTTCTCTATCCTATGGATATCCGCCCTGACCCCTGAGATCGGATCGCCCCGTCCCTCCGCACTGGGTCGCGCGGCCTCCACCCTTTCAATGCCCGGTTTCTGCTGGGACTCCTGGCCTTCCCTGGAGATCCGGGCGGTGCTGTGTGCCATGGGCTGCATCCACAGCATTGGGGGCAAAGCCAGAGTCTTCCAAGAAGGGATCACGGTGATCGACGTGAAAGCCTCCATCGACCCGGTGCCCACCAGCATCGATGAGTCCTCCAGCGTGGTGCTCCGCTACCGGACGCCCCACTTCCGGGCCTCGGCCCAGGTGATCATGCCGCCCATCCCCAAGAAGGAGACCTGGATCGTGGGCTGGATCCAAGCCTGCAGCCACATGGAGTTCTACAACCAGTATGGGGAGCAGGGCATGTGAGTATCCGAGCCTGGCTGGCGGGTGGCGGGACCCAACGCGGAGCGGGACGGTGGTGGGGTATGTGGAGCTCAGGTAGCCATGGAGCTGGGCTCTCTCTGTACCCTCCTTGGGCAGGGGACTCTCCAGAAGATTTACTTATTTCAGTGTGGGGTCACGGACTTAAGGCCTCCCTGGCCCTTGTCTCTGATCCCTGGGTCCCTGCATTCTGGCCTGCAAGACCTTGGGACACTAGTGAACCCTTCCTCCCTGTGAGTCTTTAGAAAAGCAAGGACACCACCCGCCTGGGGAGTATCAGGGCCATCAGGGTCACCAGAGATGCCTCCACTCTGCCCCCAGGCTTGGCCCGCAGGAACCCATGTGGGGGCTTCTGCTGGTCTCTGGACTGGACTCTGCTGGCTGGGTGCTCCAGACTCGCCTCTCCTGCCTGGGGGAATGTTTTGCTGGGCAGTTGCTGAGGACCTTGCAGCCAGCAGGGTGGTTAGTTTTGAAAGCCAAGTTGCTTGGCAGGGCAGAGCAGTGAGTGTGTCTCCCAGGCAGAAGGCTGCTTTATGCAGGTGACACTTTAGTGTCTGGTGTCAGTCTTGTAGTGCCCTGGCTAGGAACAGTTCAAGCTCAGTGGCTGCTTCCCTGCAGCCTGGTCTCAGAGAAATTCCTGGGTGACGTAGTGGTGACCCTGGGACTCTGGTCTTGCTTTGGCATGGTCCCCGACCTCGGAGCAGGTCACCCTCAATGTGGAGAGAACTGGGGACCATGAGCTGATGTAAGCATGTGTGTCCCAGGGGACATGGTAAAACTCAGAGTCAGCCATTCCCGTGACCGCCCCAGAGGCCACGTGGCGCCCCGAGTCACCTGGTGGCTCCCCTCCAGCCCCTGTCATCCTGCAGCTCGGGCTGGGGGCTGGCTTTCCATCCTAGGGAGGATAGCGTGCTTGGGGAGAAACTTTCTGAAAACCCCTTCCCCAGGAGGCCTCCCTGGCTTTCATGGGTATCCGAGAAAAACAAAGGTTTTCCTGGGGGTCCCTGACGGGGCCTGGTTTCTTCCTTTTTTTTTTTCATACCAGGCATGGAACTCACAGCCTCCTGCCTGCTAGGCAGACATTGTGCCGCTGAGCTAAACCTCCTGCCTTCTTCCCTGATTTCTGTCCCATGGCCTGTGACGCACAGACCTGGGGTGACCTGGGCCTTCCTGTACCAGCTCCTCAGTTCCTTATTCAAGGAGATCTTAGCCTCTGTGGTTAAGCAGGTCTGAGAGAGAGAGGCCAGGCTGGGGTGTGACCCCAGGCCAGCTTTCTGGCTACTCTGGGCCTCAGTTTCCTAATCTGTAACCAGGGGTTCTTCCTGGCCCTTTTTCCATGGCTCATGTGAGAACTGCTCGAATGACCTTGGCCTTGGGCATTACTGGGCCCAGCTTCCGGGCCCTCTGTGCAGGGGGCTGCCACCCCTGATGCTGCCACCATCAGTCACCTTTGGGATTCTGATGGATGGCCAGGAGCGATGAGCTTTGTAGGGCCGAGGATCAGGACTGAAACCGCAGAATGAGGACAGGTGTCAGCTGCTCCTCGAGGTGGCACTGCTCCAGTCCAGGTCCTCCTCTTTCACCAGGCCCCGCACCCTAACTTTTAACAAGCTAAAAATAGTCCCAGGCGGAGATGGTTTAAGTCCAGCGGCTCCCTGGTTTCCATCAGTCCCTGGAGGCTCCTCTTCCCCTGGAGCTCTGGACCCCTCTTTTAGCATGTTCTCCCTGGTAGTGCCCCGGGGGTACTGGGTCTAATGTGCCACGGTGAGCAGGACCAGCTGCAGGGAGAGGGCCAAGCTTGAAGGGACAACTAGGGCACAGAGCCAGGGGATAGGACCTGGTGATCATCGTGGGGGAGATGCAGAGGACGAGACTGCTTAAGGGCTGATTACTCATGGACAGAATCTTCCCAACAGCCCTGTTCCTCAGGCCAGGGTCCGCCTTGTGTCTTGCGGGAACAGAGACGGCCAGAAGCCAGGATGCAGCCCAAGGGCTGGCTTCTTCCTGAACCCAAACAGCTGCACTTAGATAGGTTTTAAAAGAACCTTCCCACCCATCCCTAACCCAGAGTTCCTGCACTACTGCTATTTCCAAATTCCTAAGCCCCAGTGTGGTGGGAGCAAGTGGGGAGACCAGGAGCCTGTGGTGGCCCCAGGCACAGGGAGCTGTGTCTTCACACTGGAGACCAGCAGGGGTTCAGGGGAGACCATCGTCTCCTAGCCAGTATCCCTTGGCCTCTCCGCCCCCCTGTCCAAGTTGTGACAGTCCCAGATGACCTCCTGCATAGCCCAATGTCCTCTGGGAGGAATAAAACCGAATCACCCTGCCTGAGAACCTCTGGACTCAGCCCAGACAGTTTGAATCATTCATGCAAAAGCTGGGCACTGGGCCTCAGTGGCCTGGGCAGGGGACAGCCAGGTGGCCAAGGCTAGATTAGAGCGCCTGCTTTCCACAAGTGAGCCGGGATTCAAAATATTAATTCCAAATACTTAGCTGAAATCCGTAATGCCCTCAAATGTTATCCCTGCCTGCAATTAATCTCTAAGCCAGAAGGAGAACTTGTTTACGATGACATTCTGGCTTTGAAATATTTGAAATGGCATCAGAGTTAAAAACCAGCACCCCATGGACACCCCGACTTGGGCAGGGAGAGAGGAAGCTAGCATCTCTGTGCCAGCTCAGGACGGTTCTGCATGGCTCCAGGCCCAATTCACACTGCTCTCAGAGCTAGCGCCCTGTTCTCCACAAGCGAGCTGGGAGGGAAAAAATTGCTGGAGACACCTGCCTCCACAGCCGTCCCCCGCGACTCCTCAACTGCCACCTGTCAGCTGGCGCAGAGCCTTCTAAGTGACAAGTCATAGTTTCTCCCCTGTGTGGGAGACACTTTGAATTGGCCCTAGTTTGCCCTATGCTGAAGCCCCCATGGGACCTGGTATGTGGCCACAGCCATGCCCAGGAGACACAAGGTTTGGCGTTTGGCCAGTGGGCAGACCTGGGCATGAGGAGAGTGGCTCAAATAGGAAGGGTCTTTCTAGTTTGCTGAGCCGGCATGGTGGCTCACTCCGACAATACCAGCATATGGGAGGCTGAGGCAGAAGAATTTCAGCAAATTCGAGGCCACCCTGGGCTACAGGGAGAAAGAAGGGGTCTCTGGGTTGATAGTGCCCCTTCCCTGTACCTGGGCGCAGCAGGGGGTGGTGCCCCACCCACACTCCTGAGCTGGTCCCTTAATCTCTTAGAGCCTTGTGGTTCCCATCTGTGAAATGGGAAGGCTAGCACCTCCCTCCTGTGCGGGCTGAGAAGGCTGAGTGAGCTGGGGCGCCCTCTTCAGCCTGGAAAGCCGAGTGAGGGTGCCTGCTTAGCATGGTGCTTCCTACTCCATTTTCCATGACTCTCAGGACCATAATCTCAAATCATAAGTACTGGTGCTTGGTTGTTATCCTGCGGTGTGCCACCACGCCTGGTAAACACACACTGTTCTTTCCGTATGTGCTGTCGGGATGGCTTCCGCCTTCTCCCTCTGGTTTTCGGTCTCCTTCCTTAGCAGGAGAGCCTCAGGCTATGAGGCCTTGAGGAATGCCATGGAGTGGGCTGGGTAGGCACAGCTGCTTTCCAGGCCGAAGTGGGCGCCCCAGACCTGGGAAGGGGAGGCCTCCCCCCATAGGATGCAGCCTTGAAGTCACCTGCCCTGGAGTGCTTAGTGCCCAGGGCTCTGGGACAGGCCCTAGAGGAATGTCCCTGCTGACCACGTGGCCTCTTCCTGAAGCCTGGGCCTGCGCTTGGAGCTCTGCGCAGAACAATTGAGGACAGGGCTTCCTCTCTGCCACCGGAAGAGGCCTCCCCCTCGGCTCTGGTGGAGGCTAGGGCGGATTGGGCGGGAGAGGAAAAGCCCGATTCGAAGCTCTGGGGCGGGAGGAAGTGATGCAGGGTGGCCCAGCGAGTCCAGAGAAACTGCCCTGGACCCGCACCAGCCAAGCTGTCTCGGCTGGTGTCCGTCCACCTGGACCCCACGCTGGACGCTGGGGAAGGGAGACGTGAAAAACGTCCACCCTTTTCTCCTGGTCGGATCAGGGGAAATGGATGGAATCTGGGTATGAGCCACAGCCCAGGCGCCTTGGTGCTTCCAGCCTGGACCACATGGTGCAAGGGCAGTGAGGACGCCCCAGTGAGACACGGAGGAGACAGGCATGTGAGGGGCTCCCCGCCAGTGCTGCTGCTGATGCCAAAAGGCCGATGGCACCAGTGTCCACAAATGACCGATGCCCCTGCAGACGGGAGGCAGTGAGCTGCAGTATTCCGTGTGGTCCGCTGGGCTGAAGGCGCCGCTCAGGGGCCCAGCGCCCTCCTGGCGCGCATGCGCCCCTGGTTCTACTCCGCCAAGGGTTGCAGAGTTAGGGGCCGAAGGGGAGGACAGCGACCCGGGGTCTGGCCGGCGGTAGGCAGCGGGAGGAACTTGGGAGGGGAAGCGGGATCAGAGAGGCGCACTTCTGCGCAAGGGCTGGCTTGAAAACGAAAGACCATGGGCAGGAACCTAGACGCCTGGCCCCGTGGGCTTACTTCCCTTTCCTCGCCCGGGGCCCAGGCCCGGCCGGAAGTGACGCCGGCACCCCGGAAGGAGAAACCTGCCTGGGCTGTGCGCAGGCGTGGGCGGCGTGGACGTGGGCTCGTGGCCTGCTTTCCTGGAAAGTTGTGAATGCCAGCGGCTTGCGCGTACCTCTGTAATGGGGGAGGTGAGGTCATGCTGACCTCCCAGGAGCCTCCAGCTGCCCCTCCAAGTGCCGCACAGTGGCCTTGGGGGGTGATAGGATGTTCGTGCGAAGGTGGTTGGGGTTGGGGCTGGGTGTGGCTGGCTTCCATCTCCAGCAGTGCAAAATAATAATAACGATGATGAAGCGCTTCGTGTTCAGGGAAAAAGTGAATGGGCAAAGACGAGGGGCGACGCATGGTGGACGCGGGCATGTGGCAGAGGATTCCGTCTTCCGGCCCAGCTGTCCAGGACGGGGGCTCAGGTTGTTGCCTGGGTCCCACACCCACCAGGGGATGAGCTGGGGTCACCACTCAGGCGACCCTCGCCACCCTGGGGGAGCCACCCCTGTCCCCAGTTTCCAGCAATTGCCTCCAGGAGCCTGTTCACGTGCACACACACACACAGGGCAGTGCCGTATGCGTGTATATAGGGTGCCTGTGTGCAGTGAGCGACCCTGCAAGGCCGGTGGGCAGCCGCTGAGCTCTGGCTGTGAGCTGTGGCTGGTGCTTTCCAGGCTGTGACCTTGAACATGGCCTCTGGCTTCCTTAAGCCTCCTCTGCGAACACACCCGCTGGCGCTGCCTCGCTGTCCTGTGGGGATGGGACCAGCTGTCACTGCAGTGGCTCTACCCGCACCTCTCTCTGGCCCAGCCCCTGGGGAGGCCCCCTGTGTGGCTAACAGTGTCCAGCCTGGTACCAGTGTATGTGGCCCTGGCACTGTCATGAGTTCTGGCTGTTGTGGCACCCCGGCTCCTCTCAGCCTGGGTCCATCTGGGAAGGGACTGTTCTCAGATGATCGTGTAGTCATTCAGGCTCTGTGTGCCCAGTACGGGAAGTGAGACCCATGACATTGAACCTGAGGGACCAGCTGGCCTGGGGAGGAATCTGGCTAGTGTCCCGGGGTGCTGGCCGCAGAGCTGAGCTGAGTCCTAGCAGGGACAGGAGGGTGCTGAGGCCGGAGGCCAGGCTACAGGAGACGCTGGGAGTGGAGTAAGGGCCGGGCTGGGCCCAGGGTGTGGTGCGAGCCTGTGTGTGTGTGTGTGTGTGTGTGTGTGTGTTTATACATTCAGATACTGGGGTCCCAGCTGGCTGTGTCCGGGTTTCAGGCCATGGAGTGTCATAGCATTAGCAGGGTTAGAGCCCTAAGATTGGGTTTGTGGTTTCAGATGGTGGGGGGCTTCTGGGAGGAAGACAGGGAGGATCCTGACCAGGAGAAAAGGGGGCCAGGGATGATATTGGGTGCTCTAGGGTGTAGCGCCCCAGCATCACCAAGCAGGGGAGCTCCAGGGCCAGCAGGTGCTATGCCAGTGTTTGTTGATTGAATGCCATGGGGGACCACAGCTAGGATGGCAAGGCAAGGAAGCCCTTTCCAGCACAACACCAGGGGCCCTGAAACTGGGGTAAGGTCCAGCTCAGGCCTGGACTTGACAGTGGTCCTGTTGGCTCCCACTCTCTGCTGGACATGGACAGGGCTGTGACAAGCAGCTCTGCCCTCTACTGCCTGGGGTTGTAGACAGGGGTGACTCCCAGTGGGCCAAGCCCTGGCCTGAGAAGGGTCCTGAGAGGGGCCCATGGCTCTGTCGCTGTACTGAGATTCTCAAGTCTGAACAGCGTGTCAGTGTTCTCTTCTGTTGGCTTGCAAGGTCTGCTGCCTGTCTTGCCAGTCAGAATGGCACACATGTCATCCCAGCGACTCTGGAGGCTGAGGCAGGAGGGTGGCCAGTCCAGGTCTGGGCAAGTTAGGGAGACCCTGTAGGTGCAGCATGCCTCAGTGAGGGTCAGCCTCAGCCTGCATGGGAGAAAGAGTGCAGGGCGTTCGGGACGAGGTCCCCAGTGCTGGTCCCTTGGCCATGCATGCTCTTCCTGTGGGACTCCAGAGGGGCCTGGCTCTGAGCAAGTCCCACACGAGACACGGAGTGCCTGCCACTCATGGGGACAGTGGCCATCTGTGGAGAACCAGGGCTGAATGGACACCTGCGTCCATCCAGGGCATCCGTCTCCCCTGTCCCTCCTCTGCCTGCCCCTGCAGCTCGCCCTGCCCGTCTCCTTTCTCTCTGTGAGCCGGGATGTGGCAGGTGCTTCCTGGAAGGGCTGGAATCCTCCTCTCTTCATGGTGGGCGTAGCATCACATGCTCAGGGCTCATCTGTGGTATCAGGTGTCAGAGTTTCTGGCTCTCTTAAGGCTCAAGAATGTGTGCATGGACTCTCGTGTCTTCTTGTGTGTGTGCGACAGGTCTTGTTGTGTAGTGCAGGCTGGCCTTGAGCTCACTCATGTGACCTAGACTTACAGGGATCCTCCTGCCTCAGCCTCACAGGTGCAGACATTCTGGCTCCGTGGAGTCACACTATGAAGAGGAATTGGTGGAAGTTGCTCTTTGGGGACAGCACCCTGGTGTGACCTGTGTGCGGGCGCCTCGTCCTGAGCTTGGTTTTATCCAGCCTGGGCAGAACAGGAGCAGGAGCAAGGCTGTAGCACCGCCCGCCCCGCCCCACCCCCTGCCTCTCATCTCTGCTTCCTCCTTTACTCACTGGCTGGGGTTGGAGATGAGCGTCCCGGCACCTGTTTGCTGCACCTGAGGCGGATGCCAGGAGCCCACCACTGGGTGGGAGCAGGAGTCTCTGTGCCCCAGGTCCATGTCCACCTATCATGACCACACTTGATGCCAGTGGCATTGGTGGCTCCCAGTTGGCAGGCTTTTGCCTTGTGCCCAGCCCTGGATGAGCGAGTTCCTGCCTGAAGTCTTGAAGTGACCACGAGGAGGGCGGGTCGGGTTTGGAGTCCAGAGGGACAGGTACCTCAAGTGGGTGCTGGGCCACCAAGGGGCCTGGGCTTCCCAAGTCCCATCCTGGGCCCAGCGGTAGCAGTGGACAAGGCTGACCCTGTGCCTGCCAGGGACTGTCCCTTCCCGCCCGGCTGCTGTGGCCGGGTTGTCCATGACCGGTGTCTATGGCTCAGCCCGGAAAGAGGCTGCTGAGGCTGGGAGGGAGTGGAGCCCTTGGGGATGGTTTTCCTCCTCAAGGGGGTCAGCAGTGGCCTGGGTAAGGGCCCCGGAGTCCAGAGCCCCCTTCATGATAGAGGTGAGGCCTCTAGAGGAGGAAAGGCTGGGTGGAGTCACCCCCTTTTCCTGGGTGAGGGTACGGAAGCCCAGAGGAACAGGTGTTGGCCTGAGGTCACATGCTGGCCTTCTACATTCAGCCTGGCACCTAGCTTGTGTCTGTGTTTGTGATGGCCCCTGGGGATGGCCAGCAGCTTCCTCCAAGTGACAGTTGTTCAAGGCGAAAGCCACCTGGAGCTTCCTCAAATCCTCATGAGATCTGATGGTTTCAGGCCTGATGGGGACCGAGGGTGTTGGGTTGTCGCTGGACATGGCCCTTGGAGTGATGGTGCCTGGATTTCCTTGACGTCAGCTTCCTGTGTGTCCCCTGCTCACCCCACAGCAGTGGGCCCCGAGGGCAGAGGGGATCAGGTCCTCCGCCTGCACCCTGTTGTCAGGGACCCAGGGCAGCCCTGCTGAGGGGGGCAAGCTAGTGACCCAAGTTCCTCACTGTGTCCGTAGGTCCAGCTGGGAGCTTCCCGACCTGCAGGAGGGCAAGATCGAGGCGATCAGCGACTCGGACGGGGTGAATTACCCCTGGTACGGCAACACCACTGAGACCTGCACCATCGTAGGCCCCACCAAGAGGGACTCCAGGTTTATCATCAGCATGAACGACAACTTCTACCCCAGCGTCACGTGGGCCGTGCCCGTGAGCGAGAGCAACGTGGCCAAGCTGACCAACATCTACCGGGACCAGAGCTTCACCACATGGCTGGTGGCCACCAACACGTCCACCAACGACATGATCATCCTGCAGACGCTGCACTGGCGCATGCAGCTCAGCATCGACGTGAACCCCACGCGGCCTCTGGGCCAGCGCGCACGGCTGCGGGAGCCCACGGCGCAGGCCCAGCCCAAGATCCTGAGCAAGAATGAGCCCATCCCGCCCAGCGCGCTAGTCAAGCCCAACGCCAATGACGCGCAGGTCCTCATGTGGCGGCCCAAGTACGGGCCCCCGCTGGTGGTCATCCCGCCCAAGCACCGGTGACGGTGCCACGCGGGCCACCCGCTGGGTGGAACTCCAATGACAGTGACCCAGCTCCGATTGGGATGGCCCGAGGCTGTTCTGCAAAATACAACCATTCTACCTTCTCCTCCGCGGGCGACCTCACTGTGCTACTGTCCCCTGTGCACCCCCACGGCCGCCGCTTCGCCCCTGCTTCCTTGCGGGGCGGGGTGGGGTGGGGGGCACTACGGTCCCCTCCTCACCGTCCTGTCTCCCACTTGTGGGCGACTCCCCGAAACACGGCTTTCTCTTTTCAGTTCCTCCTGGCGGGGCTCAGGGCGGCCATAGAGGGGACCTGCCGCGGCCACCATGCCTTTGGTGTGTTGGTGGTCGTCCTCCATCCCTCATCCTCTGCCACGCGGCCTTACGTAGACTTGCTTTGCCAAACTTTTGCCTTAAGCTGAATTTAAAGGGAAAAAAAAGGACTTAGAGAAAGTGCAGAACCCTGTCCCCACTAGCCCCTATCTTTGGCCAGGGCTGGGGGGCACCCCTCTCCCCCCCGGGCATCCGGGAGAGCAGGGTCTAAAACCAGCCATTTGTTTGCTGTTTTGCTTTGGCAGAGACAAAGCCACAGGCAGATTTCACCTTGCCGCCCCTCCCCCTCCCTGGACTGGGGGCAGGGCAGGGTCTGTGCTGGCTTCTCTCACTCCATCCCTCCTGCAGCCTTAAGTGGCCTGGGGTGGCTCGAGGGGCAGTGGGGGACCCCGTGGCCGGTCAGTGGTGCCCCTCTGTCCCCAGCCCTACCCCCGAGCCCGTCCTCTACGGGTGGCTTTTCCTTTTCCATCCATGCTGATCCTGGGGGCTCAGGGCCACCCCGGTCCCCACTGCCCAGCATGAGCCTCCGAGGTGGGGAAGGCATGAGGTCCCTCGTCACGCTGCATCTGAAGGCTTGAATCTGGTGGCCCCAGTGCCCGGCTACCACCCCTTGGCACAGCAGGGAGCTGAGTTGGGGCGCCTGGCTCTTTCTCAGGGGATGCCACCCCAGGCTGCTGGGGGAGGCCACACACAGGCCCCGAGTCCGGGCGGGGGCTCCGTGTCACCTGACGGGGACAGTGAGTGACAGCCACAGTGCTGCTTCCTGTCCTCAAGGGGACTAGGGCCCAGGGCTGGGGAGGGTCGAGTGGCACCGAGCCATGGTAAGGGCTGGGCCTGCACAGCCTGAGGGGGCTGTTCCTGGGGTCCACCCTCCACACCCAGGACTCGGTCTCCAGCCGGCTGAGTCTCTTCACACCATCTTCCCAGCGCCTTGGGGGGTGCTTGCCGAAGCCCCGCCATGCCCCGCCATACCACCACCCCAGGCTGCAGGCAGACTCACAACTGAGCACAGAACCCCAGCCCTGGGGCTCATCCGCTTCCTCTGCGCCTGGGCCTCTGGTTGGGTGTCCATGCTGCAGCGGGTGCCACAACTCGCTTGGTGGGATGGACTTGGGGGTACTGAGCGCCCACGGTGGGGCCAGGTCTCCCAGAGGCCCAGAGGCTGCGGCCCTGAGTGGGAGTGGGGGCCCAGCACCCCAGCGGCAGGGCACTGTCTACACTCAGGTCTTCCTTGCACTAATGAGCAGATGGGCACCAGGGAGGGGCGGGAAAGTAGACTTTCATCCAGCCCTGGTCACCACCGGGGGTCTTCCAAAAGGTAGGCCGGGGCAGGAAGGACAGGAAGGGACCCTCAAACCCACATTTCTTTCTCATCTACTACTTTCTATGTAGCTCAGGCTGGCCTTGAACTTATGTAGCCCTAGCTGGCCTTGAACTCATGGCTACCCTCCTGCCTCAGCCTCCTGGGGACAGGTGTGTGGCCTGCATCCGATGGGTCTGAACAAACACTTCACAGCCCAGGATCTGCCCCTGCATGCCCCTGCCTGGCCCTGGCGCCCTTTACCCCGTCCCCCTTTCGTGCTCCCTCCTGCCTTGCTAAAGGTGATGGGGCGGAGGGACCCCAGAGGGGCCGGTGGTCCTGCCAGGGATGCCCGCTTAGGCTGGACCCTCGGCCTCCTTCCTGTGCTGGGGCCCAGGCCCAGGCTTCCCCACCAGGCCTGGTCCCTCTGCTGTCCCCACACCTGGTGCGGCCTGGACACTCCCTACACTCCCTCCTTCAGCAATAACAACCGTCCCCAGCTGCGGAGATTACTGTGAAACTGCACCGTGTACTCTCAGAGGCACGAGACTCGAAGACGATGTACAGTGAGCCTTTTTTAAAGATTTCAAGTGAAGACACAAATAACAAAAGAAATAAAATTAATTTTAAAGTAGGCCTGGCTGGCACCTGGTATTTCCTGGCGATTCGGGCTGGCTGTGGGGGTGGGGGTGGGGGTGGGGCTGGATCCCAGGTGGAGGGTGTGAGACTGGGGTGCCGAGCGCCTGAAGACCGGGCAGCAGGGCGCTGCCTCCCCTGCTCTCTGCACCCTGTCTTCCTCTGAGCTGGCTGCCCCTGCCCCTGGTAGCGGGCACTCAGGAGGAACTTGGCTTTTTCTTTTTGACTGTGTTTTTCTGAGTTGGTCTCATGCAATTCAGGCTGGCCACAAACTCACAGCGATCCTCCTGCTTCAGCCTCCTGAGTGCTGGGATCACAGGTGTACCGCTGCGCCAGGCTCAAGCTTGGCTTTTTGGCGGATATGCTAACAGTGACTGTTCAGGCTGGGCCCTAACTCAGGTCACCCCTGTGGTCCTGTAACATGTCAGAGGCTGAGGCAGGAGGATCACAAGTTCAAGCCCAGCCTGGGCAATTTAGATACTCAGATGCTATCCCCAAATTAAAAAAAGTAAAACAGGCTGAGGATGTAGCTCTGTGGGGAGGCCCTGGGTTCCATCCCAGTGCTGCAGGAAAACCCCTGCGCAGCATCCGGGGTCCCAGACAGGAAATGCCTTTTCCTCCACCTCACTTCCTGGAAGTCTTCCTGCCCTGTCGTCCTGGCCCTCAGAGCCCTGCTCACTCTCCCTGTGCAAAGCGGCTGCCTGGGCACCTGCGGCTCCAGGCTCGTCCCAGGTGGGTGTGGCAGTCTCTCTGCAGCACCATCCGGGACAGGAAGCCCCCAGCACGCTCTGCGAATGTCACACTCGGTCTTGCTGGGTTTTCCCACCGTGCACACCCTGCAGCACCCGTATCCTGCCTCCTCGGATTGAGACACCTAGGCAGGAAGTTGCATAACCGGCTGTGCTGCCGCCCCCACCCAGATGGCTGCTGGGTGGTGCCAGCCACTGTGGTGTTTGGCTTGGGGTTGTGGAGACACTGTGCACACGTATGCGCGTGTGCACGCATGTGTGCATGTGTACGTTTTGCATGCCTGTGCCTGAGAACCAGCAGCCAGAGGAAGTCCGGCTGGGTGGTGTTGGGGACTCAGCATCTCCACACACCTGCGGCTGGTGGGGTGGGGGCGGCACCCTGAGTTTGGGTGTGGATGAAACAGGGCCTGGCAGAGACGGTGGCTTCCCAGTGGCATTCAGTGGCCCCATGGCAGGCTCCAGCCACAAGCTGAGTGGGTTAAATTTAGAATCCAGGCTGGGTGAGACGGACGCCAGGCATGGCCAGCTGTCACAGCTCTCTCTGGGGACCTTGGTGGGGCGATGGGGGGCTTCCCACCTGCTGAGACATCTGGAGAACAGCTGACAGGGACCCCCACATGCAGCATCTGCCTCCCTGCAAGCCACTGAGTCTGGCACCCCTGCCCTGGTGTTGATTCACAGAGCACAGAACTCAGTATTGGGCTGCCACAGAGGGAGCTGGGGTCCTGAAACCAGAGGAGACAGAGTCCCGGACTCCGATGTGAACATCATGTGATTTATGTCACCTCTGGCTTCCTCTGCCCTACAGCCATCCACGTGCTGGCTGGGACCTGCACAGACCTGTCCAGCTGGCTGGGATCTGGGCACTCGATGAAAGCACTCGATATCACCAGCTGGACACTGCCCCCTGTGGTCCCTATGACACAGACAGCCACGGTGAGGACCACATCCCGAAGGCAGGCGCACTGTCCACACCAAGGGGCTCTGCCGCCCCCAGGCATATCCAGGGCTGCTGCTTCTCACAGAAGAGGAAGCTGACCCCAAGAGGGACCCAGGGGACCTGCTAAGGGTCCCCAGGTTAGGAAGTTGCAGCCCTGGGCTGACTTAAAATGTCCAGCTTTGACCTTCTGCCTGGGTCACCTTGCAATGCCCGCAGGTCCCAGAGTGACCTCGAGCACTGGAAACTTTTGTGCTTTTGTTGTTGTTTGTAGGACTGAGGACTGAACAGGGCATCTGCACTGAGCTACATCCCCAGCCCTGTTGTATTTTTATTTTGAGACAGGGTCTTACCAAATCCTTCATAAATTTTCCAGACTGGGTGATCCTCCTGTCTCTGCCTCTCAGAGCGCCAGGATCACAGGGGTGCGACACCACGCCCGGCTGGTGCTTGAAATTTTCCAATGTGAGAAAAATGTGAGAGCCGATAAACTCCCTCTCTGCCTGCATCCAGAGGGGTAAACCCCAAAATTGACCCGGGTCCTGGCCCAGGCCAGCACACTTCCTGCTCCCGAGACAGTGCGGCTGGGAATGCAGGGGCAGGATTAGTTCCTCCAGCTGCCGAGCTCCGGCGAGGGCTTTATCAGACTTTTAGCATCAGGGGCAGGGCGGCATGGCTGGGTGTTTACAGCGGGCGAGACCAGGCAGAAGCCTGTACTATTCCCGGCGGCCACTCACCCTGCTGAGCAGAATCAAGAGTCGCCTGACCTCAGAGGCCTGAGTTTCCTAATCCCGGGCCCAGACACCACCCAAGCTGCTTTTTCTGGCCAGGCGGCAGAGATGTGACAGATGTGTCTTGTGTCACAGGTGTCCCCAGGAGACCAGGGCCACCTCGGGGACCAGAGGTACTTCTTTTAAAGTTTTTTTTTTTAATTTGAGGCACAGTGTCACAATGGAGCTCAGGCTAGACATCAAATCTGCCTGGTGACCCTCCTGCATCAGCCTCCCAAATGCTGGGGTGACAGGTGCACCCCATCCTGCTCCATCCTGCCTTTCTTTAGACACCATAGCTAAACTCACCTGTGGCATCAGCACCACCAAGGATGGGCCCAGTTATCACCAAGATCCCCAGCTTCCACCAGAAATAAACACACATTAAGTGCTGTGTGGGGTCAGATGACTGTGGCCAGATTTTTCCCACAGCTGAGTTGGGCAACTTGGCGATTTAGGAAGACCCTCCCCCACTACCCCCGCCTCGAGGATTAAGAGAAATGGGGGACACAGCTCAGTGCTGAGGCCCTGGGCCCCAGCCCCAGCACCGTCCCCCCCAAATTATTCTCCTTTGGTCCAGTTTGCAAGTTCTTTTTTTTTTTTTTTTGTCTTTTTCCTTTTTATTGGTACCAGGGATTGAACTCACGACTGCCTGCTTGCAAGGCAGGTGCTTATGCCGCTGAGCTAAATCCCCAGCCCCTAGTTTGCAAGTTCTAAAACTCCGCCCTTACGCAATTCCCCGTGTCCCTCCCAGACCCGGCAGATGTACTCCCACCCTGTTCCCTCTGTGTCCCCCAGCTGTGGGTGCTGGTGTCACAGGAGCTGCCCTGGGGCTCCTCTCTGGTGCACCTCCTCCCCCAGGGCCACCCCAGAGCACTCAGTGTCCCAGGCTTGCGAGGCTCTGAGCCGTCCGCTGTCCCCATGCCTGCACTGCCCTGATGCCCACCCTGTCAGTCACTGCATGAGTGACCTGAGGGATGCTGGACAGGACACATGGTGTGGCTGATCTGGCCTCCAGGGCCACCTTTGGGAAGGTCTGTTACGATCCCAAAAAGCCAAAAAAAGTTATTAATTTCAAAGTCAATAGATGGCCCAGGCTACAACTTGTGATCTGCCTGCCTCAGCCTCCCGGAGTGCTGGAATTACACGTGCATACCACCATACCTGGCTCCCCCAGTCCTGAAAAGTTTTTGTTTTTTGTTTTTGGTACCAGGAATTGAACTCATGATCTCATGCTTGCCAGGCAGGCGCTGGCCGCTGAGCTAAATTCCTGGCCAGCCCTGAAATTCTTAAAAAAAATAATATGTAGAACGTGGAAGCATTTGCATCAGAATGGCCAAAGAAGGCATAGCACAGATACACAGTGGAGCACTACTCTGCCATGAAGAAGGACGGCTCTGTAGGACCAAGGATGCCCCTTAGACCATAATGTTCCAGTGAGATAAATCAGACATGTAGCTTCAATGTCATGGTTAGTTTTATGGTTAGAAACTCAGAGCACAAATACATTAAATTGCAAAATAAAGGCTGGATAATGGAAACGGGAAGACAGGCCTTTCACAGATGGGAGGGGACTGCAGGGATGGGAAGGGAAGAACGCAGACGTGTCACCCACAGGCCACAGTTCTCCACCACGAGTGCCCTCACATCTACTGCACACACACTAAAAAAATTTTTTTTTGTTTCTTGAGACAGTCTCATGAAGTCACCACATTGCCCAGGCTGTGAGGCTTCCGATCCTCCAGCCTTGGCCTCCCAGAGGCCTGGGATGACAGTTACTTGCCTCCACACCCGGCTCCTGATTCTTTGATTCCAACATGGCCCATTGTATGAGTGGCAGGGATGGAGCAGCCCACAGTGGGCACCAGGAGCTCCTGCTGACATGGGTGACGGCTGCCACTGAGCTGGCTGGGGATTTCCTGTCCCTGCAGCCAGGGGCCCTGCATGGGGCCTTGGAGAGTGGGGTAGAGCTCTTGCTGAAGCCGGGGTCGGGGTGGTTTGCAGGAGCCTGGAGACTTCCGGCACCGCGGCCACTTCCCGTGAGGCCTCCCCAGCTGTCACCAACACAGCCCACGGTGCCTACGCTGACACCGGCAGTGCTAGGCGCCCGCCGCACTGAGGATCCCGAGGGCCCCAGTACAGGAAGCCGCTGTGAGACTGGTGTGTGGAAGCCATGAGCTTGGGCAACTGAATCTGCCTCCAGCCTCGAGCGGGGACAGGGCGCCCTGGGGACGCACGACCTCCTCAGGAGCAGGCTGGGGCCTGGAGCCCAGGGATGAGCACCTGGGAGTGGCGCCTGCAGCCAGGCCACCGGCCTCTGGTCCCACTCCGTGGCAAACCCTGCTATGTGGGTCACTGCTGGCTGCGTGGGAAGCCTCTGCCTGAGGGGCCTGGCTCACCGTGCGGATCTGAGCCACCCTGCTGGCGCTGCTTTCCGGTGCTTTTGCTTTTGTTTTTGTTTCGTGAGCAAGGTGTCTCTATGTAGCCCAAGCTGGTCTGAAACTCAAAGCAATCCTCCTGCCTCAGCCTCCCGAGTGCTGCC